GTAGATGAGTGTGTAAATTATGTTTTGCTACACATAGAGCGTGTAGCAGGAACATGTTGGTTGACTAAGCCAAACTGAGCATATTTCTTTTTTCAAGTGGGGGCATGAAAGTCTTTAACATGCTTTGAGATATTCAGATGTTACTCAGATACTATACAGGGTATTTGGAGTTGTTGTTTTACCATTTAGCAATCCAATTATTGAATTTAAAAATTAGAATGGGAACCATTACTATCAAGGGAAATTTTGTTTCAGGTGTGTTAGAGGATACATAATTTGTAAAAAGTTTAGGTAGGTTTATTGGTGATATGTATTAGTTGCAGATCAGTGTGTTGTTTGAGTCCCTTTGTCTCGGGGCCAGGATTGAGTACTTGTACATGGAGGGAGTTTTCAGTTTGCACTTAGGTCTGCTGATGCTCCACAGTTCTTTCTGCCCTTTTTACTCCTCTGGAATATGAGTTTAACACTGAGATTTTGGGGAATGAAAACCTTGGGAAATGTAGAAGGCTACATTGATTGCTCAGTCACAGCTTAAGATCATTCTTAAAGAGCCAAGGTAAATGTGATGCAGGATACTGCTCTGATAGGCAGCTCTAATTGCTGCACTAGGGCATTACAGGGTGCAGTGGGAGTGCTGCACTTAAGCTGGGGTCTGAAAAGCTTTTTCTAAGGAATGGTGACTGTATAATGCTGCAAAAGGGCAGTATGAAAATGAAGAAGAGGGAGGAATGCTATTAAAACAATTATGATTACAATCATAGAAAAGTTAGGGTTGGAAAGGACCTTAAGATCATCTAGTTCCAGCCCCCCTGCCATGGACAGGGACATCTCACACTAAACCATGCCACTCAAGGATCTGTCCAGCCTGGCCTTGAACACTGCCAGGGATGGAGCATTTACCACTTCCTTGGGCAACCCATTCCAGTGCCTCAACACCCTTACAGTAAAGAATTTCTTCCTTATATCTAATCTAAACTCCCCCTGTTTAAATTTGAACCCATTACTCCTTGTCCTGTCACTACAGTCCCTAATGAAGAGTCCCTCTCCAGCATCCTTGTAGGCCCCCTTCAGGTACTGGAAGGCTGCTATGAGGTCTCCACACAGCCTTCTCTTCTCCAGACTGAACAGCCCCAACTTTCTCAGATCGTCTTCATATAGGAGGTGCTCCAGTCCCCTGATCATCCTCGTGGCCGTCCTCTGGACTTGTTCCATATGCTTTTTATGTTGAGGACACCAGAACTGCCTACAATACTCCAAGTGAGGTCTCACGAGAGCAGAGTAGAGGGGCAGGATCACCTCCTTCGACCTGCTGGTCATGCTCCGTTTGATGCAGCCTAGAATACGGTTGGCTTTCTGGGCTGCGAGCACACACTGCTGGCTCATTTTCATTTTCTCATTGACCAGAAGATGAAAAGATTAGAAAAATACTTTTTTCCTTTTTACCTTCTGTTTCTTGAGTTGAGGTTTACCAGCTCTTGTTCATGAAGAGCATACCTTTCAAATGGTATGTGGGAAGACCTAAACAGTTTGGTCTTCCTGCAGGCTCTGTCAGTTACAAATCAGAGCTGACTAATCAGTCTTGCATTTAAAATCTGGTCTTTTTAGGTGTTGTGGTTTAAATCCTTGAAACTAGGGCATTAGGATTCTTTTTTAGGGATCTGCGTGTAGTATGTCTGCTAAATTGGTCTTAGCACATAGGCATGAAGTGCTAGGGACTGCCGTAACCAGCTTAAACTGGTAGTTACTGTGGTGTGGTGGAACAAAAGAAAGAATGAATGTAAGATGACTGTCTCCAGACAGATGTCTCCAGACAGAAACCTCAGACTTGCTCAGTAGTTTTGAATATAAAAGTTAAATGCTTCACTTTCTGTGGTGGTCTTTACCTGTGTCCTGGGTTCAGCAGTAGCAGTCATTTTTCTCCTTCTTAGTAGCTGGAGCAGTGCTGTGTTTTTGACTTTCAGCCTGGGAACAGCGTTGATAACGCCAATGTTTTTGGCTGTTGCTCAGTAATGTTTATTCTAACCAAGGACTTTGTGAGTCTCATGCTCTGCCAGGGAGGGGAGAGGAAGCCGGGAGGAAGCAGAGATAGGACACCTTATCCAAACTAGCCAAAGAGGTATTCCATACCACAGCACATCATGCCCAGTATATAAACTGGGAGCAGTTACCTGGAAGGGTTAGATCACTGCTTGGGTTAGGGCTGGGTATCGGTCCGCGGGTGGTGAGCAGATGTATTCTCTTCCCTTGTTATTTCCCTTACCATTATTATTATTGGTGGTAGCAGCAGTAGTTTATGTTATACCTTAGTTACTGGACTGTTCTTATCTCAACCCATGGGAGTTACATTCTTTCGATTCTCCTCCCCATCCCTCTGGGAGTGGGGGTAGGAGAGGGAGGGAGTGAGCAAGCGGCTGCATGGTTCTGGGTTGCTGGCTGGACTTAAACCACAACAACCTGTCACAACATATAATACTGCCCGTTATGCATGGCGGGGGGGGAATCTCCTGACTGTGTGTTATAAGGTACTGGAGATGTTTTAGAAGCAGCTGTTGTTCTAAAAATGTGCAAATTGTTAGATTATTCTCATCATGCTAATAGCAAGAGCTATGTTGTTGGGCAGTGTAAACCTTTGTGTACTTATTTTATTCAGGAGTAGCTCAACCTGAAGCTACTGGAGTAACTTTCTGGAGTTAAAACTCTTTAACATCTGTTCTGTATTTTAATGCCTGATAGAAGCACCACGTAGTTTAATACTAACCTAGGAAAGCAGGCCTTTAGCAAAGCAGTCAGTTTAGCAGAAAGACCCTCTATCTGGGTCTCTGTTCAGTACTTTAATTAATAGTATCTCCCTGGATTTTGTGGGAAGTATCTATCTGTACCAGTATCAGGACTAATGGTAGTTTCAAAGCTGTGGTTTATCAGTTTTGCCTCACCTCAAAAGGTTCTTTGGAGCCTGGTCTTCCGTGTCTTGCTCTGTCTGATTGTCTCCAGCTTAGTAGCTAGTTTTTCTAGCCTGTTTCATGTGTCATAGTTGGCATACTTATTTCAGCACTGCCTTGTGAGAGGACTTACCTGTCTAAACTGGGGGGGAAGCTGCTTGAGCCTTCCTCAAATTTCACTTCTTAATATGTCTGTGCTGACTTCACAGGATGTAACAAACTACAGAGATTGGGTATATAGAAATACTACATTTAGTCAGCAGAGGGAGAAATCCTGCCTTGAGGAGGACTGCAGTGGTGAGACATTTTGTTTAAAAGAATAAGAATAAAATAAATGCTTCTGAGTTGGCCTATTCTGTGTCAGCTTTTTCTCAGCTGGGAACAATTCAGCGTCTTCCTGGAGTTTCCTATAAATGTATATAATATTGATAAATATACATATACAGAATATATATATAGAATATGTAAAAAAAGGCAAGCCTGCATAATGTCCATTAAGAACACTTTTTCATAATCTTTCATGTCGGTACGATAGCACAGTGCAGTCCTGTGCTATCAAACATGAGTAGACCTATGTCCTTTTCTGTGTGGCCACTACATGTGTAAAGATCAAGTCTATTGAGAGAGAGAAGGCAGCCAAATAGAGGGGCTTCTGTATCTGGACAATTGTCTGCTCAAACAGTTTAATTTTGGCTGAAATTTTAGAATCAGTTCCTCAGTGTGAAAGAACAATATAGATTGGCTATTTCACAAAGCTGTATAGAGCTCTTTCAATACCCAATAAACTGCTAAAGCTTGCTTGAAGTGCCAGATTTGTCAGAGGCTTGTTGAAATGTCCAATTCAAACATTGTAATGAAATACATGTTCATGTCTTTTTTTCCATTTGATTAATTAAAAGCTTGTGTGCAGGCAGTTTGAAGAAAATGAATTTTAATTAAGCCAAGTATATTTATGACACAGTAGCAATCTATGTTAATATTATCTTTATAAAAAAGACCTTTGGTAATCAGTCGTCACCCAGTTATCTTGTGTATAATGCTTGAGTTACAACTGACTTGAGGCAGTGCTTTCTCTGAATCCTGAGGTCTTTGTGAAATGGTCACCCCTGGTTATGTTATACAGTCAAAGCATAAGATCTATGTTCTGTGTAGCAGAGTGGGGTAAATCATCTGCTTTCAGACTTCTTCAGTATGCCTTTTTATAACTGATACTCATGGTTTAGGTCGGTAGTTAATTTCTAATGTAAATAATTTGCAAACTTTTTAAGCAAAGTTAGAGTAATGTGTAATTACTCTTTGTATATCCCTAAGTCTTAAATAGGTTTACATTGATACACTTCTCAAAACTTCATCCTAATTAAGAGGTCGTCTTGTTTTGGTATGTTTGTCCTTAAGGCATTTCAGTTTTGTGGTTGTATTTTGGCAGTTGTGGGTTTGGGTTTTTTAATGTTTCCTATCTTACGGTGGTACATTCTGGTTGTATTTGGTATGTTATTCCTGCAGTTCTTAAGGTTTGTTTTTGTTGGGTTGGTTTTAGTTTTGGCTGTGTTTTTTACTTTCCATAATGTATTTTCAATCCAAATGTCTGAGAGTTCCTTATCAAGTGAATGCTATTAAGAGTGCAGTGGGATTTTAGTAGTAACATTAAAACCCTGAAATTTAAAATTATTCTCTTGATAGAGAATAATAATGCTAAATGCCTTTTTCATTCTGAAAATATTTATCTGTTACCTATTTGTGTGTTAGTATTTATGTATAGATTTAAACATAGGCATCTTTCAGCTATTACTCTTCTTGATTTGAGACTATCACCATACCATATGCATTGACTCCAAGCTGGTGGTTGTTTTTATAAAGCATCCTGTCTTTCAAGTCTTAGGATGCAATCTGAAACAGTAATGGTTGTGGCTGCAGAATTACTTTTAGCTCTATTAAGCTATGCACTTTTGGATATGTACTTGATTTCCTCAACTGCTATCTGATAAAACTGTTTCCAAAGGCATGTAACTGCCTTTGGGCTTACAATATGCTAACAGTCTTACATATATTTCTCCCTTTAAGGCAAGAACTTCTGAAATGGAATGGATGGGGTTATAATGACTCCAAATTCATCTTCAACAAGAAGGGTCAAGCAGAATTCACAGGAAAAAGGCAAGTTGAAAATTTATATAAAGGAAATATCTTATTTAGTATCTCTTTGAAAAGAGTTTAAAACATTCACTGTTCAGTTGATCCAAAGAAGGCAAAAAACCTTGCTTTATCTCATAGAATAGGTCATTAGTTGCTCTGCACTTAACAGGTTTACTGGATTCTATACACAGTAGCCTACTGTGTCGTGAAATAGGTGGGGTGGCTTATTGAAAGGTTTATTAAAAGTATTATAAAGATAAATTAATGGAGTGTTCTCTAACTTGATATACTCTGTGCATTAAATTTCCCTTGGAGAATGGATTCAAACTAAGAATGTGCACCATGTTATAAAGCCTTAGTGACATGCAGCAGGTCTGTGCAGTTTTGAGGATCTCTCAAACATCAAGTTGCTTTATTAAACTTTCCAGTTTGCATTTGAGTTTAACTGTTGTGCACAGAGCTACTTTATCCCCTGAGGTTTTTATTTTTAAGATAAAAATTGCTTATCAGTTGTATGTTCTTTAGTGGCAACACTTCTGATTTAGTACCTACTAGCACTTTGTATAGCAAGCTTGTTTTTCTGAGAAATTTGGGTTGTTTGTTTTTTTTTTTTGAGGAAATGATATTAAAATTAAGTCTACTTGGGGATCTTTCTTTCAGGAGGTTTAGGCCTGGCGCTTGACATCTTTCTCTGTCATTGGAAATTAGTCTTGCAATGTCTTCCCTGGTTTAAAAAATACATGTTTTCTAAGAGTACATGAAAAGAATAGGGAAAAGAAATAAGTCTGAAATAAGTACTGTACTTCAGAAAATTTCCTTCCTGGTCTTTGAGTTTGTGAACTAGCATTGAGCTAGTTTGAGTCAAAGCTGAAAAAAACTAATTGGCATGTTGAGCACTTCAGTCTTAGAATCATAGAATGGTTTGGGTTGGAAGGGAGCTTATGCAAAGTCTTGTCTTAGGCGCTTCAATTCGCTGTATAATATTTAGGGAGATATTGGTGCTCTCTCTCCTTTTGCCAGGATCCTGACTCTTACCACTTTGTCACTCATTCTTTCATCTGATGTTTTTAGTTTATGTGGGATAGGTTATGCTGCACAGAAAATCCAGGCAGTGTGAAGATAAAAACAGTAAAGGGCTAGACTTGGATTGTTTTATTTTTCAGCAGGAAGCATTGAGGCTGCTGTTTGACTGGTAAGTACCTACCAGTCACTATTCTAAAATGGGAGGAGAATGGCAGTTTTTTCTCCCCATCTGCATTCTGCCTCTCTGCTAGATAATATTAGAAATGCCCTGTTGGGCCACATCATTGTAGTTTCTATGGAAAAGTTTGTCACAGTGGCAAAAGGAGAGTGTTTGGAGTGGAAACAGGAGGATAGGCATCTGCAATGATGTTGAAGATGCTGCATCCTTTTAGTGTCTACTTATAGATCTGTTGTCCATAAATTTGTCTAACAGCTTTCAAGTCTGCTGATAACTGTCTGCCTCTACAGCATCCCATGGCAGCAAGTTCCATGTTGCTGTTGTGTAAAGTACTTGTTTTAAACCAAATATCCTTTACTGTGTTGCAGGATTAGGTGAGTGGTAGTTCTTTGGCCTATCTGCTGCTTTATTGATTATGAGTTGTGTCCTCAAATAATCTGCTCTCTGTCGATGCTGATGAATCTTGGGCCCTTTAGTCTCTGCTTGTGAGGTCCCTTGGCCTCTACAGTTGTTCTCTGACCCCTCTCTAGCTCCACTACATTCTGCTGAATGTGCAAGTAATGCCTTTTTTGGGGGGTGGGTACGTGGCTTTGCAATTGTCTATCTATTATTTTCCATCTTCATTTGTTCGCTCAGCTTTTTTAAAGTCCCGAGTTCCTATCTGTGTAGTATCTGTCTCCACAAAGTTGCTTAATATTCATCTAGTTGAATATTCCACTAATGAATCCAGATCACTGATGAAGACTTTATATATAACTGGTCCTAGTACCAGTGTGTGGCAAACTGCACTCCTGATCTGTCCTGGACAGTGATCAAACCCTGCCCTTTACTTCTTATTCTGCATTCTGATTATGAGGGAAGAACCTTTAACACTGCTTGTCATGACAATACGTCAGGTCTCTGAGACTGCTGTTCACATGGTAGTGTGTCCATAAACACGTCCTCTACCTATAACTGGCATGTAAACTGTGATACTGCTTTCCACACTACTGAAAGGAAGAGACCTTTCTTAAAAGTGAAGAGGGGGTGGAAGGAAGTTTGGGATATCTCAAAAGCCATATTCTATGATTCCGAAAGATCATGCAGAAAAGTAATACTTAAGATGATGGTGATTTGATTTTGCATGGAGTACAGAACAGTTAAATACAATGAAATGTGCAGTTACATGAAAACTGAATGGTTAGAAGGTCTGCAGGCTTGTAGGTAAAGAATTGGAAATAACTTTTGTGCATACACAGAATCAAAAGAAGTGTATCTGACATGCAGTCGTTTAATCTAAAATGACCCTGTGTAATATTGACTTTTCAGGTACAGATTAGGTGGTATGGTATTACCAACTTTTAAGGAATGGATGGAAAAAACCTTTGGAGCCAGCCTGGATCACAAAACTACCTCTAGAGTAAGTAAATAGCTGAACCAGTTCCTTTGAACACTTGTCTTGGTGATAGTCAAGACCACACTGTTAAAAGATAATTCGGCTGTTGTCCTGTAGGTCATGTTGCACATAATTGATTTAAATATAGTGTATTGGTACCTCAGGGTTTTTTTGAGGGGAAAAAAGAGAAAAATTGATGTAGAACTACTATGTGAAACCTTCAGTGACTTTGCATAATTTGTGGTTCCACTTTAACTGGTGATACTTTTATTGGAATGAAAGTTTCCAACTCAGAGGTTTTTGTCCTTGTGTGCAGGTTGCTCTTCAAAGTAGTGGAAACTGTTAGCCTAGGGAGAATTGTTTATACAGCTTCAGTGGTGTTCATGATAGCAAAGAGAGAAGATACAGTGAAGTTAATTGTGCTGTGTTTTCAGTGTATGTATGAAATCAAAGTTCTTATTTGACAGTAAATTTTTTTTAATGTCTGGGTGCTGAAAACTGGCTGCCAGAATACTCAAAATTGAGCTGAATATTTTCAGAAAAAAACCCACATTTGGAATGTTCTGGGTTTTGTGAAGCACCCATATTTTGCTTTTTAAAAAGATTAACTTGTGTTAGTTGGGAGAGCTGACTCCCTGCTAACATTTAATTCCTTTGAGGCTGCAGTTTCCTGACTAGATAGATGCTTAAACAGTGTTGGAAGCAGGCTGTGCTTGCACAGTGACTTTAGCAACCCTGCTTTGGGTAAGTTTTCCCCATTTCTTGAGTGAGTTCAAGATTGCATTTTCTCTGAAGTAGGTAGTCTCATAGGGCCTAAAAACCTGAATGTTTCTTCAGTCTTCTGTTGTTAATAAAGATGTTTTTTAATCTGCCAGTGTAATTTGAAAAAAATCATCTTGATTTGTTTTCCTTAACCAGGACTGGTCTTGGTCTTAACTGGCAAATGCATTAACTTGCTGTGACCAGAGGTCTTGAGAGCTATTGTTCTCTTTCTACATGTGAGGGACATATAGAATGAAGTAGAAGTGGAGGATAAGGAAGGATTCTTGATTAGTATCTTGATCCCACAGCGTGTCTTGCAAACCAGTTCTTCAGGAGATCTTCCAGCAATGTTGAATGCTTTCCTGTTAACATCGTACTGCTCTGGTTCTGATGTTCTTGGTGCAACCTGAAACAGGCTGGCTGTCTTGACACAGAATAGGACACTGGAGTCTCCAGTATATATCTGGACTTCTTATAGCTATTCTCAGCTACTTCTTCAGGTCCCTCATTTTCAGTGTGTCATAGTTCCTAGTTTATACTTTAATTTGTCATGCTGTATTGTGTTTTTACCTTCTACTGTCATCAGAGCATAACGAAACTTGTTTACAGAAACAGTAGTAGGGAAGGCATCTCTTGGTCCATTTGTCTTTCTAGCTCATCTCTTCCTGTCTGTGTTGTGTGAGACTGGAGGGTTCCTGTTGCATGCAACTTTTCTGCTATAATTGACAACCGTTAAGGTACCTGCTTCTGTCGTGATCAAGGCTTGATAATGTTTTTTTCTTTGAGACTTGGACAGCAGTTTAGACCAAGTTCACACAGGCTTCCTGTCTAGCCTTTCAGTGCACAAATCTTAAAATACGTCAGTCCGATAAGAATAAAGGTGTATTTTAGTTTGGCTTTGTGCAGAAGGTTTTTATAGATGAATATGACCATTTGAATCTTGAAGACAAACTAACATTAAAATACTTGTCACAGGGAGATAAAAATCAGGATACTTAAAACCATATGCGAGGAATTAATTGTTACAACTTTTAAGTAGTTTATGTTTCTCTTAGTGAACAGAGATCTTTCAGCACTTGGTGTTCAACTTGAAATAATATGAAATAGTTCTGTCTGTGGAAATCCATGAAGAAACAGAAGTTTAAAATAGAAAATATAAGGAAAGCTAGCAAGGTTTTTTTTAAAAGTAGGTTAAAGATCTGTATTTGGTACCTATTTGCTTGTTTATGTTTCTCAAGTTTGTCAGAGCTCTGTTTTTGGGTTAGCAAACAGCACTGTGTGATTCTGCATTGATAGCAGAATAGCAAGAGTTTAGAGCAGTAATCCAAGACCTGACTGCCCCCTAAAATCATGATCTATCAGTATTGTTGTGCCTCTCACCTGAACAACATTTAATTTCAATTTCCTTGTTTGTAGGTGACAAAGTGAGTAAGTTGGAGGGAAAAACTTTTTTCTCGGATGTCTGACACCTTTTTTCAAGTATAATATTATCCTTAAAGCAAGCCAGAACAGCACATATCCTCTTCCTGAAGTCAAATTGTTAAAACTGTATTTTTATTAGGTCATGTGTCCCATATGAAAACTCTGAAACAAACACTTAGCAATCATTTTGAACCTCTATAAATGTTAACGATCAGTCGCAGATGTAGCTCATGTAGATACTATGTCTGAATTATCCCTGTAAATATTCCTAATCTCTATGTAATCTTCCATAGTTTCTTGTATGGTGGACGCTAGTAGGCCAATTCCATCACTGTGAATCTCTGAACTACCCAAAAACTTGCCTGTTCAAGTTTGAATCTTCCCTTCTTCAGCTCTCATGACTTCGAGACTTAAGCCATTCAGAAGAGTGCTGCTGTGGTGGCAGATGGGAGGCAATGTCTATTTTTCTTGCTGTTAGCTTGGTAACTGGTGCTATCCTCTAAGCTTTTACCTTAAAATAAAATACACTTTTTGGCAAAAAGTGTCAACTATTCTGGAGGTTATATAGAGCAAAAGTAAGGAAAACTCCATTTCGGGAGAAAAAACTTGAATGGGTGAATATCCCCTCTTTTTTGTAGAAGGAAACTGAAACTTCAGAAGGTGAGAGAAGTGAATTCGGTTTTCTTTGTAGTTGTGAAGAAACATAGGTTAGGCTCGTTCAAAAAAGGTCCAAGTTTCTTTGACTGTGTGGAACACTTAGTACAAAATGCGTTTTGGTGGTATGTTTGTAAGAAAGCTCTCTCATGTGTTATTAGCAGCCCATAGTCTTCTCTGATAGCTTTATACCAAAATTGTAAACATATTCTTCTCTTTGAGTTGAAAGTGATGTTGGTTAATTTGCCAGCAAGGTTTTCATGACAGACCTTTGAGCACACTGCACTATGCTTTAACTGATTTTTCTGCAACTCCCGATTTTAGTGTATTTAAAATAATAGGTGCAGTAGTAAAAAACTTTCAGTTCTTCTCAGACTTGAGGGACTCTTAATGAACTTATTTTCTTGTAGGCAACCTTAAATGTTAATGATGTACCTCCATCCATTGTAAAAGAAGAATTTCTTCAGGATCTTAGAGCCACTAAAATCTCATACTCACAGGATGCAGAAGATAGGGTATTCAGAGCTCATGGTAAGAGAACTTAATTTATGTAATTGTGTTGCTTTTGATGCGTCCCTGTTTGAACTTGTTATTGTTTGTGTTTCAGGTCACTGCCTACATGAGATATTTATACTCAGGGAAGGAATGTTTAAGCGAGTTCCTGATATAGTTGTATGGCCTGGTAAGCTCTGTTATATTCTGCCTTCTGATCTGGGAGGCTGTTGTTTACTGAACTCCTGTGCTTTCTTGTCATGGGCAAGTTCTTCACTTGTCTTTACAGAAATTGGAGGAATTTTATCATGAATGGTAATTCATGATTGTTTAACATCTGGATTGCAGGTTGTGCCTGTGAAATCCTATCATTCTGTGGGGAAGTCAAATTTATTAAATATAGCTGAAGTTCCTGTTGACAGCTAAATTAATGACTTGGGTAACCACAGTGCAATTTGAATTTATATGTTCACCAAGAATAGTTGTCTAAATGGCAGTCTGAACCTTGTTGGCTTTTTTAAAGGAGTACATGATGATAGAGGGTTAGTGAAATGTTTGTATTTAAAGAGCTTTGTTTTATGACATACTGTACTTCAGCAAAAAAAAGCGTAACACCTGTAACTCCTGTCAGAACACTTCACAAAGGATTATTGACTTGAAGAAAGAGCAGTGGAAGCTGAGTACAGGCTAGGCCCACTTTAAAAAGAGTTATAACTAAAGCTGTTGTAGATAATATGTAGCAGAAAATATGCTTGCTTCTATCTAGTAGAATACAAATACTTAAACTGATATGACTGTTTGCACACTTGTGTGACTTTTCTACTTGAGATGTGTTTCTCATCACTGGGAATTACTTTCCATGTGTGATTCTTCAGTAGCTAACAAAAAACTCATTAGATCTAAGTACCTGTCAACATCTGTTCAGCAAGAATCCAACTCCTTGCTGTTTGTAACTCTTCTAATACTTTGATAGCTGTGCTGCGTTAGAAACCCTAAAATTTCTGAGAAGAGCTTAGTCTTAGCTCAATTTTGCTTCCTTTATTTAGGGAAAAAAAAACACATATGGGAAGCTTAAAAAGAGGCACTATAAGATACAACTGATTACTTGAGGACAGGTATTGACATGACAGCACTGGTGACTATGAACTGCACTTGCCACAGCTTTATTTTGTGCAGCTCCAAAAGCAACTGAAATGAAATGATTGACTACCTTTGTTGAAAGCCGCTCTGTATGGCAAGAGCGAAGTAGCCGGGGTTCGTACACCTATTTATTGAGTCCTGCTCATTCTCTGCTGTTTGCACGAACTCATGTATGCACTGTATTTGAGGTTGTTTTTTTTGATCCTTTTTCTTGCCTGTGCACAAGCATTTCTGCTTCCTTCTCTGACCAGATACAGAAAGCATTCTGAAAAAGTAAATTTCACCAGCAACTCTACTTTCAAAACTGAATGTCAGTGAGGAAGAAAAAGATGTGTTATTCAGGGCTCAGAAGAGACTTACTTTTGCTTAAAATAAATTGGACAGCCAATTTTCAATAAAAGCTTTAAGTTTGATCTGTTCTCCAAGGTACCTAGAGTAATTGTTAACAGTTTGATAGCCCTCAGAATTTTGCAGAAGATGTCAGTCCGTGAGTAGAGCAGGAGACTAAGGTTTGTACTCAGTTCTTCAAGTGTAGAATTGTTTCAGGCCTAAACTTTAGGCTGATACTTCTAAGCCTAGCTTGTATTTAGCACCTGATGCTTTGAAATGTCTTCCTTGCTGGTGTTAGAAATGGAGCTGCTGCTTATTCAGACTGCAATATTTAGTACTAAGCATATAAAACAGTACTAAGCACAAATCCTGTTTTTTAACTGTTTGGACTTTTTTAGTTTGCCATGAAGATGTAGTTAAAATTGTGGAATTAGCCTGCAAACACAATCTCTGCATAATACCATTTGGCGGTAAGTGTTGGAAATCTCAACTCTGTTTAACTCTACTAGTGAAAATGTATTCTACTTGAATTCAATTTAAATATGTGATCTTGGTAATGTATTGTAACAATAATTCCGTAGTTGGGGCTCTTCTGCTAGTATGTTATGTGTGGTCTTTTTTTTTTATGATCCTGCAGTATTAAAAGCTGCTATATACAATTTAGTGGAAGTCGTTAAAGGTATGTCAACATCTTGAATATTGAATGTGCAAGAGGAGTGACTGCATGAAGCTGAAGTCTACCCCTGTCTTGGAAGCCTTCTAGGAAATAAGAGATTAAAATGTCAGAGTTAGAGGTGTCATGTTTTTGGATGTGTTATTTGTGCTCTGTTAACAAAGCCCACGTATGAAGAAGGTTTTTTTTGTAGTACTGTTGAAGCTCATAGGTCCAGGGAGAATTGTGAGACCATATTGCAAAATTATTAACCATAATTCTAATTGCCTTTTTGACATTGTTCAGTCCGAAAGTTAGAGTAGAGACTCCTGTGATGAGTTTTTTGGGAAATGTTCCAGGTACAGAGTACAGGTAAAGGTCTCTGTAATCTGTCTCCTTAGCCTATAGAGTTTCTGAAGGACACCAGGTTCTTACTTGTGGATGCTTTATCCTCTAAGCTTGCTGAGGTAGAGTGGTGAGTTACTGTGTTTTCAGAGAGCATGGGGTGTTGTCTTTTATGAGCTTATTCTGTGAGAAGGTTTTTGTCAAGAACTCTTAATTCTATGAGAAATCTGTGTGTTGCTTGGTACTTGCTTATGCTGTAAGAGTGTAGCCCCTGTAGGAAGGACATTTACTATTTGAGAAGATGAGCATGTCACTGAAACCAGCTCTATTATTTTGGTATTGTCTTTTCCCTAAAACCCTCTCATCCTTTCTAGCTGTATCTGGAGAGCTGTAACACTCTCTGTAACAAGTCGGTTTTGGTACTAGGAAATTGGTATAGCAGAAAGTAGTAATATTGACTATCTTTTCTTTGCTGACCGGGATAGAGAATGAGATTTAGTTTGCTTTCCAAGTATGCTTATACTAAACTGTGGTCAGCTTCTGGAGTTATTACTATAGGGTTTGGTATTGAAGGAAAATGCCACCTCTCCTACCACTGGAAATGAAGGTTATGGGCTTTACTGCTCTTGGAGAGTGTTTTATTAGTTGGTGCTGTGTCTGTACTTGCCATTGGCTGTTCTCTTGTAGCTTCCTGTGGATCTCTTTAGCATCCTTTGTAGTCTTTGAGAAGCCAGAGGCTTCTTGGAGGGTGTTCTGTGACATCCTGTAAAGATACATCAGAAACCTTGGGTGAAGTTGGACATTTGGTTTTATCCTTTTTTGTTTTTTTTTTTATGAGTTGTATCCTTTCTGTTTCTTGCTTTCAGAGAAGTATCAAATACCTGTATTAAGTGGACCTCTTAAGCAAACTTTTTAGGTAGAAGTATAGTGCCTTCCGTAGTGATCTCAAAAGACTATCTATAAGCCCATAGCTGCCTCTGTTTCTTCAATGGCCTTTATTTCTCATCTTCCCTTGTTTTAAGAATCTGTTCTGGGCTTAACAGAAGCAGCTGAGATGGTCACAGAATTTTATGGTTTGTTATCAAGTGTGGTTAAATCATTGTCATCTTGAGTGCTGCCTTGATTTTGTGAAACTCCATTTGGAAGAAGAGGCAACCCTAAAAGGCTAATCACTAGCCTCAAACAGTTAACTTCAGTAGTCTTACTTTACTAAGTTCAATAACAGAAAGGAGGGAAAGGAGGATGTTACATGAAGAAAAGCTACCAGAGGATTTTATGATCAGTGTCACCCTCATATTTGCAGGAGGGACGAGTGTATCTAGTGCCCTTGAATGTCCTGAAGAAGAAAAAAGAACAATTGTCTCGCTGGATACATCACAAATGGTACATGTCTCAATTTTTTAATGTTTGTTTGGGGGTGGTTTTTTTAATTATCCTATGGTTACTTGGAATGGTGATCCCTAGAGAATGACCTTTCTTTGTAAGAATAAAATAGGGATGGAAGTACTACTTTGTAACATACATGATTAAATTGTTACTCCTTCTGTTTAAGTGTTGTTTTTTTATGTTTTTTTTTTTTTTTTACTGATGTTGGCCCTGTACTACTTCATATGACCTGTAGGTATTTAATAAGTAAAAAACCACTGTTAAGCCTTCTTATAGCAGCTTTAAGAGTAAATGAGAAAAAGCTACTGTTCTTTTCTGTTGGAACTTGTATGTGAAGTTAAATAACAAATAACTTCCTCCTAGCCTTTTATTGCAAATTTTACCTTTTTGCAGACTTAAAAATACTTAAAGGTTGGTAAGGTGATGTAGTATCTATAAATCAACTTGAAGGATCAACTTTAAAGAAAAGAACACCTAGATTTTTGTATAGATACCATCTTGAGAATGTGAATTTTATAGTTTTACGGCAGTCCAAAAATAAAGTTCTTTAAAATTTAGTGTGGTTTTCATCTTCCCATTATGAAAGAGCTTTACACTTTTTAAATAGTAGTTTTATGGTTACACTGTAATAAGATGCTTCAGAAACAGCTCCATGTCTTTGATGTAAGGCTCTATTGCCCCTGAGCACTGGCTGAGCTAATTAACTCCTTTAGCCTTGAAGGTAAGACCTGGGTTTTGGCTTCATTTTCTCTGCTTGCTCAGTGGTGCTTCTGTTACACTGAGAAATGACAAGCTTATCTGATTACAAAGTGATCTTGTTCTACAAAGGTGGCAGAACACATGCTTTTGTCAGCTAGGTATTAAAGTGTGCACCAGGTCAGAAAGTGGACTGCTTACGTCTGTATTCTGCCAGCCAGTTCTTGCAATTTTTAATGAGGAGGGAAAATAAGGAAATTAAATTGAAAAGAAGCATTGTCAGAGTTAAAATCTGGGTGTCTCAGAGCAGTTAAGATGATTGGCTAAGCTTTACTATTTTAATAGGCAGCTAATAGGTATTTTTGTCCTGTAGGTAGGGTCTACATTACATAAAAATACAAACATCTTAAATTATTTAAACAGTTTATGCTGAAGCTGAGTGTCTGAAAGGAGCTGAAATAGCTGGCTTTGAATAAGTAGCCCAGAATAATTTTGAATATAGCTTTGAATAAATTTGAAATAGCTGGCTTTGAATAATTAGCTCCTGTTGCGAGGGGAGACAGCTGCTTTAAAGCAGGGTTTAACTTGCACTAGAAGATGTCCATGTTTCTGTCAGTTGAAAAATTAAGGGAAGCTGGAGTTATTCTCCTTCTTAACAATATTAATGCACAAATTATAAAGTATGCCAGAAGTTACCTAGTAAGAACGAGGAGCAGAAGATGAAGCTTCTGTAGTGTCTTTACTATAAACAAAACTAAAACTATATGTTTATTTTTGTTTCCAAGTTTCTCCTTCACATGGATTGTCCTCATTGACAATCATGCTTAGTGCACTGTGTAACTTACAGCATTTACTACTTTTCCTGTTTAGTAGAATATACTGATGGGACAGTAAGTGTCTCATCAGGCAAAATGATACAATCCTTCCAAGTATCTTAAATTTCTAAAGCATGTACCTACTCTGTCATCCTGTAGTATATCTTGCTTCTAGCGTACTGTATCAAAATCCAAGAGCTGACCTGGAATAACTGAATGTGATCTTTTTAACCCATGAAGTATGTTTAAGAATACTTTTCTTGGTGTATACTTAATGTTCAGATAGATTCAGGCACCTTCAATCACTAACTTTGAAAAATCACTGTATTGCTTAACTTCTGTAAGAGTTTCAATTTAATGCTTTCTGGCTTTTCTATATTATTTCTGTAAGCATTCTTAGCATAAATTGACTAATAGGTATGTGGTGATTTCATAAAGTGTAACCTGTTGTGCAGCTGTTTGACAGAGTGAGGAGGCTCAGCTTCCACTGCTGTAATAACTGAAATTGTATTAATAGTAAAGGGAAGGAAATAGAAATCTTTAACACTGATTCTTAGTTTTGATTGGCTTTTCAACAGAATCGGATTCTCTGGATAGATGAGAAAAACTTAACAGCTTGTGTGGAAGCTGGCATTGTTGGTCAAGATCTGGAAAACCAGGTATTTTTAATTAGCTAAGCATTTAGTATTTTTCAGTTATTAGCTGTTCCTCATGTCTTCTCTAAATCATTGAATTCTAGCTTGATTCTTGATTGTTTTCATGCAGACTGGTATGGTAAGCATTACATGCAATAGATGTGAACCGTATTTTTAATATACGAGTGACTCTGGGTACGTAAGGATTTCTATGCAATTCCTTCAACCTGTGAAGAATACAATAAAATCAGCTCATCTACCTGAAGTGTATATTAATTTTAAAAACTTATTATATCTACTAGAATTCTGGTATTGCTGGCAAATCAGATGTGATTAAAACTAGGAGTCCAAATTGTGCTTGTTTTGTGTAGTACAAGCTGAGCATAACTATGTTTTAATATTACAGTTAATGCCAATGCAGACTTCCACAGAAGTGCAGATAGATATACATTTGGACTGTACAAAGAGAAAACGGAAAGGTTTGTTTGGTTTGCAGCTTGCCAATATTAAGTAAGCTTTGGATTGGAGGCTAACTTCTGTTGCTGTAAGAGGCTTTGCCAGCATTATCTAGGTATTACCTTGCAGAGAAGAGATTGGTGCCTCTTAATGTGTTCCTCAGTCTGTGGGTGTTGAGGTTACTTAAGCTATCTCATTTACAGGTATCATGAACCTTAGTAATTAAAAATTAAGAGCCAAATTCTAAGCAAGTAATGGGTTTGGAAAACCTGGTATTTGACAAAAGTTAGGCTGTACATGTTATAATGAGGCATTCAAAAGCAATGTACATGTCACATTTTTGTCTCTCAGCTAGTGACTCTAGTGTAATTAAGATACTTTTCTGCTGGATGAAAACTCCAGATATTAGTGGGCTCTATAGAAAAGTGTTTATACAACCTGTGGAAATTGGCAAGTTGTAACTGAAGCAAATTTCTTGTCAACTTGGAGACTGAGGAGGGTGCAAGTTTAAACTCTTTCTTAATATATGACCAGTAAGCATATAAAGCCACAAGATCTCTCTGGTGTGAGAGAGGACCATGAGCTAGATGAATCACCATAGACATTACATAGAAGTGGCTTTCAATCATTTAAGTTGGAACCGCTTTGTACGACAGAACATAGCTAATGATCCACATTATGTGGTAGATTTAAATACCGATGTCCAACACAATTATTATCAGTTGGTCAGTGCAAATTGATGATCTCAAATGCACTAACACAGTTATCACTTAATGTGAGACTACTGGGTCTTTAATTCTTCCTGCCCAGCAGTTTTGCTGTTGCAATTCTGAGGGCATCAAATGAACCTCAGGTGCTGTACAGATGGCAAAGCCAAGTTAATACAGAAAAATGAGAAACAAGTGACTACTTAGTGTACAGGAATGTGTGATCTGCATCACAAATAGTTGACCGCATTGCATACAGGAAGCCCAACCAGATGGCTGTATATTAAAACACATCACTTCTTGAGAGAATTAAGTACAGGCAATTTGCTCACATTTTCTGCAGACCTGCTGTATATCACATTAGGATAGAAAGAACAAGAGATTAAGTACCTTATTTATTGGCAGCATTTGTGCAAAGTTGGCAGTTAGTTATAGGGTTTTTTCTGTGTATAATTGAATTTGTACCTTCTTATGAACTATAGCAGTCTTAGTTTTAAAACATCGGGGGAGTATTGTATTTCAATACATAGCACAATGTATGCACAGTTGAAACAGAATTAATTTGCATTTCATTTGCATGTCAAAGACAAAACTTGTGTTAGGATATATGGGGATGTGGTCAGGATGCTTTAAAAAAAAGCCCAAAACCCCACAGACACACCCACCCCAAAACCAACCTCAAAACCTAGCATATTGAGATTTGGAGTACTAAGCAAATGCTAGTACTCCATCTGTAGAATACTTTTTTTCCTTTCTTTAGCTTGCTGAAAGTGGCTTCTGTACAGGCCATGAACCAGACTCCATGGAGTTCAGCTCACTAGGAGGATGGGTAGCAACACGAGCATCAGGCATGAAAAAAACCATCTATGGAAACATTGAAGATATGGTAAATAATTCTGATACTTTTTTCTAATTATTCTGTTTGGAAGTTTAACCCTTATAGTGACTCACAATGAGGAAAAAGGGGTAATAAACTGTGGTTCTCTTAAATAATACAGTTTTGGCATCAAATCTTAACTGAAATGGTTGTTTTCTTGCCTTTGGTATTAGATGAGTGATAAGGATTATTAGTACTAAAAGCCAATTTCATTTTGGTATTCACTGGCTAGTTTAAGGAATTGTTACCCTCTCCTGGCTATTTTGTGCTCTCTATTAATCCAATGTAATAAACGTGTTAAACGTTCCAGGTAATTGCGAAAGACCCATGTTCTCTCCTACACGTTGTGTATTCCTGAAGTAGTCTAGTTGGATCATCTAACTGATATCAAACTAGCTCTTCCTCTTTTCCTACCTCCCCTAGGCTAGTAGTTTTTCATATCAGTAGGCTGATCTAATTGACCATGTGGAAGTACAATAGTGAAATCTAATGTCACCACATGGTCTGTAGGAACACTGAGGAAGGAAGCATTGGCAGCATTCTACTCCTGAACCCATTTTAAGCATAAAAATAGATCATCTTTAACCCAGGTAATTTGTTTTTTAAAGTGTATACTTTGATTTAAAAATCAGCCTTCTCTGTTATAACAGATATATTGAACATACTGAACTTAAAATCATCGCTGTTCAGACTTTGCCTTTTTGCTTCAGACTTCCAGCTTTCTCTTGTAGTTCGTACTTGTGCCCTTGCACATGTGGGTTTTTCCCTTCTTTCTTGCAGCACACTCTAGGTAATGTATCCCCATAATCTCAGGCTTTTTCATTAGCTCATAGCACAGACATATTTGTTCCAGGCACAGGCATGACACTTTACTATCAGTAACTGAGCTTGGCAGGAGCTACACTGATTTTATTCAGTAGGCCTGGCTAAACTAAAACTACTAGCACTTACAAACTGTCTGTCATCTGTCGCCTACTGCTTGTAGTGTTTGAATGGTATAGTTTTGCTTGTACTGATAGATGTGAAGCAGAAGGCTTTTCTGTGATGGAAACATATCTTTAGGCTACGGCAGCTCCTGAAATTTTCATTAGGAGGAAATAGGATTGAAAATTGATTCAGAACAGTTCATGAGTTTCTAAATGGCACAGTGAGAAGCTTTCAGGGAAGTGTTTACTTTCTGAGGAAAGTTTATATCTAGAAATGGTGTGTTGCGTAAGCGGCCCAAAATCCACTTTACTGCAGAATCAACAGTTCATAAACAGCATATAATTAAATTCTTGAATAACTCTGAGCAGGATGAAAATTACTTGGCTACCTGTGCTTAAAAGTTTTAAAGCTATTAGTTGAAATTCAGTTATTTTGGCTCCACTTAAAGGCTTCACTTAAAAACCCAACCCCCCACTTCTTTCATATAAAATAGAATAAAAGATTAAAAAAACATATCTAGGCTCTGTATTGCATGTGCATGGATAAAGCTGGATATAATAACATTTGAAAAACATTTCAAAATATACAACTTTCTAGCCTTACGTATGTATGCCTTATTGCTGATTTAATGTTGATAATCTATTTCATTAAGCTTTTTGTCTTTCCTACTAATAGAAGTATTTGTGTAGCAAACAATAAATTATATTAGCTTTATCAAGCAGCAGTTCTAAAGCAAAAGTTAAGCAGAATTTAAACCCTCACTTTTCTTCCTCTGTATGTTCTGGAATAAAATCCTAATATTCATAAAGTACTACCCGCACTGAGAAACGAAACAGTTTTAACTTGTATTGTCTGCATGTAGCCAACTGCTGATTTGATTTGTTACAGAACTGGAAGCAGTCTGTTGTGTGGGCAAACTGTGTTGTGTTATTGTAATTGCAATAGTCTTTGCATTATCCCAAAAGTTCTTTGGGCTGCCTACAGGATGTTTGAAGTCTACAAAGCTGTACTGTATGATATTTTGTAGAAAATAAATACTGTACAAAAACCCATTGTGTTTAATGCTAATATTGATTGTTGTTGCATATTGTTTGAACAGGTGATTCACATAAAAATGGTAACTCCTAGAGGAATAGTAGAGAAAAACTGCCAAGTACCTCGCATGTCAACAGGACCTGATATCCATCACTTCATTATGGGATCTGAAGGTATAGACATAATAATTTAATGTAACCACATCTTTATTCAGCTTCTGTAATGGCCTGATGATTTGACCATCTTTATGCTGTGGCTTCTACTGTGTCTATGGGTAGCATTATGCAGGCATGAATTTCTTCTGTTAAGGTAATAAATTAAGACCTTAAGACTATGAAGTTAAGCAACTCTGAACAGTGCTTAAAACAGATCTGTGTAGTTAGCCTACAAGTCTACTAACAAACATAGTGATTTAGAGGGTCTGTGAGAGTTTACCATGTAAATAGTCAAGAATACATCACCTACTACTGAACTCTTGGGATTTCTGGTTTATGTTAACTTAAGACATCCTGGTAAACATTTAAGTTGGGTAACTTGCAAGAAGTACATCTTGCAATACTTTACTCAGTTCTTCTTTCTTCCTGAAGGGACTCTTGGAGTGGTTACTGAAGTTACGATAAAGATTCGCCCAGTCCCTGAATACCAGAAGTATGGCTCTGTGGTCTTCCCTAACTTTGAACGAGGGGTGGCCTGCTTAAGGGAAGTGGCAAAGCAGGTAAAGAAAAGCTGGATGTTGACTTCAGTCAAGGGCACAGATTCTAGCACTAGTGATGTGCTGATGCTGTAGTATTTCTGGCAACTGATAAGCAAGGATTTGAGATATGAACCCCATGAAGTGTATATGGTCCATGAGGCTTTTGGAAGTTATGCAGTTGAGGCTTGAGTGTGTTCTGAATTTGCTTGATATACTGAGCCAAACATGGATGTGCCTTTTGATATCTTTTTTTCAATGAGAGTTATTTCCATATCTTGGCACAGAAAATTTGGCTTTGCATCTCCTTCAACGGAGAGCTTTATCCTCAGATTAATTCAGGACTATGTAAAAGGAACCAGTATTTAAAGGAATTAAGTTGCAGCTTGCAAGTAAAGGCAGTTGAATGTATGGTTCTGAAGTGACAAAGGACCAGAAGTTATGCAATTGAAGGATATGGCCTATGTTTAGAAAATACTTCTTAAAGCATAGTGACATTTTCAGGTGAGCTGGATAGTTTGAGGTGGAATTGTGCTTACAGTGTAGTATTTAAGTGGATCCTTCTGCATAGTGTGATCAGATAGTTTTCAGGTAGCAAAACCCAGACATGCATATCCAAATTGCATAATAACTTTTCCTTATAGCTATGCTTCGAAGCAAATCTTACACTAGCCTCTTTCTTTGCTATCTTAGACTAATTTCTCTTTGCTCTGTGCAGAACATATCAAATAATTTCTGTGAATGGTGGAATATACCCTGAGTTGGGGAAGTAATTTCAGAAATGTTTTAATTAATGCCAAACTAAACACAGCTTTACATTTTTTCCAGTGATTGGTCTAAATTAATGACTTAATGTTCCAAGCCAGATGTTCAAACTGGTATGTGAATGACATGTATATGCTAGTCAGCAGCACTTGCCAGTTCTTCTTTCATGCTTCTACTGCTAGTGCTTGTTCTTCCTGTTAAAGGTATCTAAGCAGACTGTTTGGGAATGCCTAATCATGTGGCTGAACGACATTTTAAGTCAGTGAAGTAACTAGTATCCTTTTCCTAGCTATGGGCTTAGGTAGAAAAGGAGGAAAAAAAGGCACTATTAGCCACTTAGCATTGCTCCATTTTTAAGCTGCTGTTGCTACTGCTGCTGTTTCACTGCTTACTTTAGCCTGAAGTACTTACTCCTCTTCTGTTGCCCTTTGCATCAATCTTGGTAGTAATTACAGCGATTGTTATCTGAAAAGCTGTTTCTTATCTGTATTGATCTACTTTTAATGTAAGAATAACCAACCTGCAGGATATGGGTAGTTTGGTTCTCATTTAAAACCACTCAGCTAGCTGTCTTCTGTCAGCCTGCCTGGTGAGCTATCTTGGTTCTTCATGTTCTTTTTTCCTATTGTGTGATAAGGTACAGAGTACTGATATTATGAGGGTGAGCATATCAGTGGTAGAGACATACTTCCATAATTATGTGATTAGATGAGAATAGCCTAAAATTTAGGCTTCGTCATGTTCCTCTGGCCATACATGTCAGTATGACTGGCCATAGCTATCACAGGTACATGATGTGGGCATATGCGTGATGAGAAGCTTGCCTAATTGAGGGCAGTCTGTTTTTTCAGATTTCTGTACAGTGCAGAATGTAGGTTGGACCCAGATAGGGATTTTAATTGCAGTCTGATGGCAGAGCATTAATGTACTGGGTCTGATTGCGATGGAGTTAATTTTCTTCATAACAGCCCAAGTGGTGATGCGTTTTGTACTTATGACCAAAACAGTGTTAACACACCAGTGTTTTGGCTGAACAGCATGTACACACTGTAAAGACTTTCTCTTATTTTTCATGCTTTTCCCCACCAGCCAGTAGGTTGGAAGCAGACAAGAGGCTGGGAGGGAATGCAATTGGGACAGCTGACCCAAATTGACCAAAGGGATATTCCGTACCATAGTAACATAGAAACATAGAACATTTTGGGTTAGAAGGGACCTTAAGTGTCACCTAGTTCCAACCGCCCCTGCCATAGGCAGGGACACCCTCCCCTCCACTAGACCAGGTTGCTCAAAGCCCTATCCAGTCTGGCTGTGAATGCTGCCAGGGATGGGGCATAATATCAGATTAATCTGTGTAACATCATGGTTAGAAGTAAAACTGTAGAGAATTAGACTTTTTCAATGAATTCGTAATGTATTTCTTTGATTACATACTAATATAAGCTTGGTATTCTAATCAAGTATGGCATCTTTAGTGCATATGGCAATTTAGAAAACTACTCAATACTTGAAGGCCAAAGGTCTTTGGACTACACTTTTGTTGGCTTGATGCTAAACCTAAAATTCTCAATGCGTTATATCTAGACATACCTAATAAATGTTGCTGTTCAAGTGAAAACAAGCTTATAGTCACTGCTTTTCAATTATGATGATGGCCATAGGTCTCTGGTATCCAAGTGCTTTCTTGTATTGTACTTTTAAATAAAAAGTGAATTGTAGTGAATGTTAGCAAAACTATGTACATAATCTTTTTTTTTTCCTTCCTCCCTCTTGTTCCCCTAACTTGGCCCTCAAGAGATGTGCTCCTGCATCAATTCGCCTTGTTGACAATGCACAGTTTCAGTTTGGTAAGTATGTAGACATTCTCAGATAAATACCTCTTTCCAGGGGTTTTGCTTTTTCGTTACTTATGTCTGTTTCAGGTAGTAATTCTGTTCCTCAAAACTAGGACAATGAGCCCGAAGTTCAAATGCCAGATAATGCCACAGTGTGTACTTTCAGGAACAAAAGCCTGGTTTTGTCCCTGGGAAAACAGTATCAACTACAACAGTCAGTTAAGAGCCATGCTCTGCATATAAATACTTGAGAATTTTTTTTTTGCTACTTTCCCATTCTTAGCATATAGTCTACTGCAGAGTTTGAAATTGTGGAGGTGCTTCCTCTGTTTTACCATAAGGAGCAGAGATTATAGTTTTGCATTATAGTGTGAAATATATGAAACGTTTTCTTTCTAAGTGTACTAATGAGAAGTTGGATATGATGAAAAAAATTATCAGAATGCGGGCACCTTATTTTAAGGTAAGTTGATTGATTCCTTTGTATTTCACAGAAACATGACAAATGGTAAACAGACTCCTTAGAAGTAGCAGAATTAGAATTAGAATTCTGATAATTATCAGAAAATAATCTGATGTGACTGATTGTTTTGATGGGAGAGAGGTGATGACAGACTTGTCCAAACTGAGTTGTCTCTTTTTTAAGAGAAGCTTAGACATAGTAAATGCCGTAAGTGTATGCAAATAGAACTAAGCTGAAGGCTTTAAGTATAGAAAGTCAGTGAAGCTACTAGAAGATTTCACAAAATCTTTGTGTTTAGTAATTTCAACTAGTTAAAATACCTAAATAGGACAATATCAGACATGCAGAGCAATCGTTTTTGAGCAGTTCTTAAGGAAAGCTGTCACTTCTAACTGTAGGAAGAACACAGATACGTTTTGGGTCAAGGTACTCTTGAGGAGAACCTGAAGTTCCGCTACCTAAAAGCTAACAGTTAACAGAACTTGAAGGTCTTGCAGAGACCGTGCTATTTCAATTGTACTTAGAAGATGAAAATGTGAAGTGTGGCTGACCTTGAAAACCTCCTAATTTACTACCACTTGAGTAAGTCAGAATTTCTGAAACTTCCTTTGGGTAGAAACCTCAGTGATGAATCTTGACTTTCAGCAAGCCTTGCTGCTTGCTTATGTCACTCTTGTTTTGTTACCCATGTTCTCTCAGATATGTTCAGTGGAAGATGTACATTTTACTTTTTTAATTGGGAAGAAGCTTGGCTAATTACAGGCTTTAAACCAAACACCGAATAAATAAATCTCCTTTGATTTGAGGTTGCAGCTTATACATTCACCTGCAAAGTATAATTTCCGGTGTGTCAATATAGAATTTTCTTGTAGCCATTATTAGGTAAACTTAAATCCAATAGTTTTTACAGTTTGTGGCTTAATAAATTCATGTCCTCTTGTTATATGGTGCTTTTTTGTTATGCTTACTTAAGTGTGCTTGGAGGGGTACTCCTGGGGGTTTGTTTTATCTGCAGGGAGAGTGCCAAAGAGGGAAGGAGAGTAATCATTTGCTTAAGTTCGTGCTTTATTCAGGAGGAAATACTTTGTGAAGTATTTTAGAAGGAAGTATCATGTAAATGGTGCATAACTTTTTTATGAATTGGGCTCACAGCGTGTAGGCCAGATGCGAGACTGCTATAGTGAAGCAGTAATGGGAGTTCAGAAGTTGCTTGTGACTGAAAACAATGGAGCAAACAGTAAAAGACTTTAATCTCAATTAAACCCAGTCCTGAGGCAGAGATGTTAATTTAACAGACTCCAAGACACCATTTATATATCCTGGTAATTTTAGTTCCCTGTATCTGATTAAGGAAGCAATTACTAGCTTTATGTAGAAAATTTTGCACAAGTGACATAACTGTTAAGGAAAAAATTGCTTAACTCCCAACTTGCACCATTTTTGGCTACTGGTTTCAGTGGTTTTGGCATAACTTTAAAAAAGGTCACTGATTTTGCTTAGTTTTGTAGTGTAAAAACTAATGAGGTACTCTTTTAAAATTTTCCACGTGCCATATATTTGTAAAGATCTAAACTAGGGCAGCCTTAATTGAAGTGCTAAATGGAATATTTGTGCACAGTTGTATGTATGCCTTTTAAAGAAAAAATAATAAAAACATGTTCCTAAATCATCTTCTAAATGAGTGAAGTCTCTTCAATTATGATAATTAAAGCTCTCCAAGCGATTCTTGCAACTCTGACTACTAAGCTGTGCTTTATTTGCACATTGAAGTAGGAATTTTAAGAGCACTGTTTGCCTTAACACACCTTTTTCCACTTTTTACCAAAGGTCATGCTCTTAAACCGCAAGTTGCTTCCATTTTTACATCATTTTTGGATGGACTGAAAAAATTCTACATCACAAAGGTAACTTCGGGGGTTTAATACTGTTTGGAACTTTACATGCTATTCATACAGTCAAAGAACTCATTGGTAGACTGTCTCTAATGTAGATGAGTTTGAGTGTAACATATCCCACATTGTAGTATCAGATAACTCAAGATTCTCAAGGTGGTTTAATCAAAAAAGAGATTATATGTTTGAGGAGTCGTTCCACAAGAGCTTTTCTCACTGGTCATATCTGTAGATGAGATTAATATGCCTTGTCTAATAATGAGCTACTGATGAAGCAAGATTGAAACCAGTTTATCTAGCTTGAAGACTGCTGTTAATCAGTTAATACTGATGGAGCAGGGCTGACATTTTATCTTTTCCTCTTTCCAGATTTTATCACAGCATGATATACCTTGTTATTACAATGAACTAGAATTTTAGGAGAACATCAAAATGCTTGTCTTGAATTGCCTGTGTAAAGTGTTCTTACAATCTTTCTGGAATAACTCTTAATGAATATTCTTTAATTCAGAATTATCTGGTGCTAAAATTATTTCACGTAGGTTTTTGTGTTAAATCATTTGTTTTGTTACTGTGGTTTTTTTCCTCCAAATTAGCTAACTAGGGAGTTCCTGGGTATTCAAATTACAGCAAATAAACAGCATTATCCTGCTTTTAGATAACTGTTAGGAAGACAAACATTCCATTTTGATCTTATGAGTGTCTTCAAGGAGTAGGCTTATTTGAGACAGTGGCTAATACTGATTATGTTGCTTTTTCTTGAGCTACTGAAATTGAAAATACCATGTGTCTTGGGGCTTACTTTGTTAGGGAATACCTATTAATTCTAGAGATAGCCCAAAACTCTTGCCTGCCTTCCCAGATCTGCTGCAGTAAAGATTTTGGTAACAAGACAGCTGTTGGTTTGAAACAATCCTTGTTAGGAATACCTCCTTCTTCTGTATCTGGCAACAGGCATCACCGCTTCCACTTGAGATACTGTGTCACCAAGGGATGTTGTATGCCAATTCAAATTCTTCCAGCTCTGCAGGAGGAAAACCATGGAGAAATAAGAACAATGCTATGTTATACTGATCCAGGCAGTTTAGGTTGGTGACCAGTCTGAAGCTCTTACGTCAGGGCACAGTCCCTTGAGGCTGATACAGCAAGTGTTTCTGGGACCAAGATGCTCAAATCTGTTTTATGCTTCATCTGTGAATTGCTCCCTGGGGAAGGGAGTAAGCATCAGATTAACACTTCATTCTTTTATTGAAAAGAGTAGTTGTTCAACAGATGCCACTTAATAGGGATGAAGTCTTTCTCTCCCATGTTTACTCTTCCATGTAGTTTGGGACTGTTCACTGATAGATGAATATTCTAGGCATTGTTTGTCTACTAGTTCACACTGTAGCTAGTTCCTCCAGTGCCTCTTAAAGACAGCCATAAATTGTTACCTGAGCATCACAGCCAAAAGATGGCAGAATAGACTGAAAGGATTCATGCTAGATGAAATACAAGTGGTTCTAGAACAAGGGACTGTAAACAGCATCCTTTATTCCTATCCTTGTAGTTTATCACTGTAGTAACAATAGTTTTCTAGTTGTTAGCTATGCTGTTTTTGTAGGACTAATGAAAAATATCTTTTTTCTTCCAAGGTATATTCTGTTTCACAGTGGTTTTCATGAGCTATTCTGGTTTATTTTGGGGGTGGTAGGATACAGTATCCATTTCAGAAATTTGGATGTCTATAACTGGGTCTTAACAAGCAGATTTGGCTGGAGGACTTATCCACCCTGATACTTTGCCTCCATGCTGGTTTTTTGAACCCTTCTGGTACCTTCAGTTAACTTCCAGTACAGTATATCTATTCCATTAAGGGACTAATAAAAGGAATAGCAAGTACCTGGGATTTTTCTCTGCATAGCTGTTGTGCATAAAGGATGAATTTGATTCTCTTGATTATTTATGTCACTAAATACAACTTTGATGCTTAAGTAACAAGTTACCACAAGCATAGTAGGCTGGAAAAGATGAATGCCACTGGGAAGGGAAAGGCTTTAAAAAAATAATTGTTGGTCAATATGCATATTAAGAATAGTTGTAAAAAATTTATTATTTAGGATACTTAAAAAGGGTAAAGAGTATTAAGCTTTATTACAACTTTATATTCCTCTTCATTCTATCTGAAACCTGCTTATTAGTGGTAGTTCACAGGAGCTAATTAATAACAGGGAAAAAGGTATGTAGAAAATAAGGTGCTTTTTGGACCAGTTGCAGAGAGATGAATCTTGATTGTTACTCCTGAAACAAAGCCATACATACAGCCTCATTGTATTACTGTTAAACCTTTAATAGTTTTCTCCTCATTTTCACTGGGATATGTTCCCTCCCACAAGTTTAGAAGTTATTTTCCTTCCATAGTGCTTTTCCCAGCATAGGGATTCTCTGGTACAACTGTTTTGAGAACAGTGATATATGGTCATCACAGTCATCTTCCTGCTTTAACACAAGAATAGTTGGTAGAATACAAGTGTCTCCCAAATGCTAAAGCAGTTAAGACCTGTTGTTTCTTCAGCACATGTAGGCAGTTTTTACGTCTGTCTGGCTTTTTAACAGGAGAAAAAAAGGTGACAGAGATAATAACTGTTACTTCAGTGGGCTTGTGAATGCTGGTCCTGTCAAGGACAAACTTGAGATTGTTTTGGGAGTGAATTTTTGAAAGATATGTTTTTTGCTAATCTTTCCCTCTTACTTGCAACACCACTTATTAACCAGAGCACATGCTATGTATTTGAAAAGTCAGAACTTGTATTCCACCATATAACATGAAGCTTTCTGTCTTTGCAGTTTAAAGGATTTGATCCCAACATACTGTGTGTAGCTACCTTACTCTTTGAAGGTGACAGAGAGAAAGTTCTTCAGCATGAAAAGCAAGTCTATGATATTGCCACCAAGTTTGGGTATGCTTGTCAAAAAACTTTTTCATATGAAACTGAAAGTTAACTGTTCAGGAAAAAAAAACAGGATTGCCATGTGTTAGTGATTACTGTATAGTATGTTCTCAATTTATTCATTTGAAGTTGCAATAATCAACTAGCTACTGAATGTTCAATATATATGGCTTGTGCTAACCCTTAATGGGTAACTTTACTGGAAAACTTTCAGCTCTGTATTGCAGAAAAGTAAGTATTTGACTAAACATAGAATTAATGTTATTAAAATGGAAACTAACCATTATAATAGCTTCTAGGAATGGAAATGCTTTGCAGTACTAGACTGTATTTTAACTGCAGAAGGGGAAGACAAATCATATGGGTAATATTAAATCCTTGCAGAATTTATGTGAACATATAAGAAGCTTGTTCAAGAGGATTTTGTATTTAGTTAAAGGAATGCAGTGAATTTCTGTCCCAGTCTGTTTTCTGTTGTTATAAAGGAACAGAAAACATTCACTGGAACTGGCTGAATAGTGAGCAGGTAGCTTCTGTCCTTCTGCTTTGATTAAGCATGACTGAAAACCATTAAGTGGGATTTATGAAGAGTATACTTCTTTCTTTTAACAAAGTAATTGCTAGTGTTATTAACTATTCAAATATACATAAGTATTGTTTTATGCATTTCAAGGCTATCCTTTCTGAAATTTGTTTTCATTGTGCTTTCATTCTACCACTTAAAAATACCTTAGAAAAGTGGGATTTCACATGAGCAGTTTGCTCATATGAGAATAATGTTGCTATTATCTTAAAGAGCACTTTATTTATTGTAATGTCGTATGCAAGAAAAGGCTTCAACTGTAAATCCTTTGTATTTTGTGGCATTTCAAGGTGATGAGTTGATATGGGGGGATGAAACTTGTCTGTGTGAAGCCTGTTAGAAGACAGTGCTCTGTGCTGCTCAGTTAAGGTTTAGTTAACTGTTAAGTGTTTCATATCTTAATTTCCTTTTTTTTTTTTCAGTTCTGTCTTTTTTCTTTTTTTTTTTCTCTATTCACATCACTTACACTTTTGGGATCTCAAGTCAGTAGTCTTGCTCTCAGTGACCTGTAAGCATACAAATGAACAGATCCAACGCGCTTAGAAATGTTGTTACATGTATTCCTGTAAATGAACATGAATGATATATTATGTCTAGTTCCTTTTCCCCTCTCTCTTTTGATGTTTGAAGACTTAAAGATCACATTAAATGTTTTGTTATTGTTCATCTCTTCAGACTATGGTATAAAAAGAGATGCAAAGAGTTACAGGTCTGGTCTGAAGTGACTTCTTATGTCTATTGAAGATGACCCTACTACTTGCAACTATTGTAATGCAGTTTAGACACATCTAAACTTACACATATGTTTGATATCAAAGTATTATTTTCTAATTACTTTTGGAAACAAGTGACTGCTTTGCTGGAAAATTAATTAAATTCTTGTTAATTGCAGTGGCTTGGCAGCAGGAGAAGATAATGGACAGAGAGGATATATGCTGACATTTGTCATCGCTTACCTTCGGGTAGGTCACATTTTGTCTGCTTGCTGAAACTTTTGTTGGTTGATACAACAAAACAGCTTTTCTTTTGAAGATGCTTTCTCTGAAATCTAAATGCATGTTGCTTTGGTTGATATCTCAGTTCTCCCAGAGGTTGTATCTCTTCCATTTCTGAGTAGTGTTTGCTCATGGAACTTCATCTCAAAACACCATAAAAACATAAATTTATGTGCTCATTAAAAAAATAGCTCCTAATAAGGGTAGAGAAAATTAGATTGAAGCTTCCATTGGTTTATTTAGCAGTTGCTAAATAAACAGATCAGACTTACAAATCTACAGGTTGAATGTAGTCGAAGGCTGGGAGAGTACCTGAAATACTCATGTGCTCACTCAGCTCTTACTTGTCTTTAGATATCTGTTCTTGGCTGTGGTTTGAATCGGAATTCCAGGAGAAATTGACCTTTAGTCTGAATTGCTGCAGCTGTTCTTATGAATTTCAGTCCTGCTGTTTGAGAGCTCTTTTTTTGAGAATAGCATGCACATCCTAAGTTATAGATTTTAAGTGGATTTTATAGTCGGGGAAAAATCACTGAGTTTCCCATTATTTCATCAGGCTGCATGTAAAATGTGCAAAATGCTTGTATTTATTCTACCTAGGTAGGAATTGCATTCCAAATAATTATTTCTATTAGGTGTCATATTGGTTAGGACAACAGACTTCTTGGCTTGATGCTGCATTGATACAAATATTTGATTAATGTAGGCTTACTGACAGTCTGACAATTTGTCTCACTGTAGCCATGACATCAAAATGTTTGTCATCTTTCTTTGAAGAGCTACCCTATTTCCATAATTACAGACTAATGTCACTGGGACAGATGGCTATTTTTGCTAAACAGACTTTCTGTTTTTCTCATAAGAACTAACTGAAGTTCCTCAACTGTTAGCTGTGTAGCATAAATGAGATTCCCAGATGTTGATGCTGAATGTTACTGATAATTTCCTTTTTCTATTTATTAGGACCTTGGCCTGGATTACTATGTAATAGGAGAATCATTTGAGACATCTGTTCCTTGGGACAGGTAAACTGTGATTATTCTTCAGAATTGCTTAGAACTTGTACTTGATTTCATTCAAATTATTCCTAACTCACATTTGCTCATGGGGAAACTTTATTTAATTTAGGCCTTATGTGTGTTGGAGGCACCCTGATGTGCCTCACGTTTTGCACCTGTGTGTTCTTGCTAAAGTTGCTAATAAATTACATGTCAGGATTGTGTAAATCCAATATATGCAAGCATTCTGTGATATTTCAACTCAGGCTAGCTTACTGTAACAAATTTGGGACTTGAAATTGCCCAGTTTAGGAAGCTGGACAACAGTCAAAATAACTGTATTGTGTGATGAGCAGCCACATATGTGGGATCAGCAGTGTATTTGAAACAGACAAGTTCATAGTAAAGGTTAAAAAAATTGTTTAAGTATATTTAAGTTTTTTCTTTCCTGAGCAATGCAGGGAAATGAAAACTGAAAATATAACTTTCTGTCCAAGATTAAGGTCTTTTACCTAATTGGTTGTCTTAGAAGGGACCTTAAGAGCATCTAGTTCCAATCCCACTGCCATGGACAGGGACACCTTCCACTAGCCCAGGTTGCTCAAAGCCTCATCCAACCTGGCCTTGAACATTGCCAGGGATGGAGCAGCCACAGCTTCTCTGGGCAGCCTGTGCCTCACCACCCTCACAGGAAAGAAATTCTTCACAATATCTAATCTAAATCCTTAAACTCTTTGCAGTTTAAAGTTATCCCTTGCCCTGTTGCTGTGTGCCTTTGTAGGAAGTCCCTGTCCAGATTTCTTGTAGAGGCCCCCTTTAGGGACTGGAAGACTGTTGTAAGGTCTCCCTGAGCCTTCTCTTCTGAAGGCTGAACAACCCCAGCTCTCTCAGCCTGTCTTCATAGGAGAGGTGCTCCAGCCCTCTGATCATCTTCATGGCCTCCTCTGGACTCCAACAGCTCCACGTCCTTATGTTGTGGGCACCAGAGCTGGAAGCAGTATTCCAGGTGGGGTCTCAAGAATGCAGAGTGAAGGGCTGTATCCCTTCCCTCTACCTGCTGGTTATGCTGCTTTTAATGCAGCCCCGGATACGGTTGGCTTTCTGGGCTGCAAGCGCACGTTACCATGTTAGAAATAATTAAAGCAAAACAGGTATGGCTTATGACCAGGTTTAATAGCTCATTGCCATATGAGAACTATAACATTTCAAGCTGGCAAACTAGTGATTCCTATCCCTTGAGAAAAAGAGCTTTCATTACCTATTCTACCTCAGCAAACTTACAGGAGAAGTACAGAAAAAGCAATACTAGTGAAGTCTTGATGAGGACTATTCTTGGAACAAAATCTAAGCCAGGTAAAACAGACAATTGCCTGCTAGAACCTGTTTTTATTAGATTATACTTTTCTGAAAAAATTGTTGAAGTTGTGTTTTTAGGAAATTGCATAAGAAGATATAGTAGGTTTTATATTTAATATGTGTTTTGTTGTAGGGTTTTGGACCTTTGTAGGAATGTAAAAGAAAGGATAGTAAGAGAATGCAAAGAAAAGGGTGTTCAGTTTGCTCCTCTTTCCACCTGCAGGTAAGCCTTGCAACAACCTAAATAATTTTTTGAATCTTTGATTAGTAAGAGAACTAAGGCAGAGGTCATCAAACTTGCTAGCTAGTAGGTAAAGTGCATCTATTAATGGTATTACAAACACTAGTAATCTTGATCTTTCTTTTTGACCTGGAAGTGGATTACATGGACAAGTGGATAATTCAAGAGATTAGTAGCGCTTGATTAGTCTTGATACTTACTCATGTTGATATTAATGAGACTTGAGTATAATGACTTATGACTGAGAGTTGAAGCTCTTGGCCTTTAATCATTTGTGAAGTCTGGTCAAAAAGAGTACAAAACTAAAAAAAGTCCACCCTTTTAAATAAGCCAAGTAACTTTCTGAATTGTGTAATGTCATACAGTGGCTGGCTTAATACCATAAAGCTTTGTTTGTAATGCAGTTCTCTTTGACAGGGTGACACAGACTTACGATGCAGGTGCATGTGTCTACTTCTACTTTGCCTTTAACTACAGAGGAATTAGTGATCCTATTCATGTCTATGAACAAATTGAGGTAATGTATGTAAGAGTGATAGTTAAGGGGGCAGGAAAGAAACTGATATCCTATAATATATGCTGAACACATTGGCCAAGCTAACTGATTTTTTCAGGAAGGATCTTCGAAGTCTGTTTGTAAAGGTTTTATCACTAGCAGCTAGGGAAAGAGGTGCACTCTAATAGTGCACCAAGTAGAGAAAAGACTACCAGGTGAGTATGTTAGACATCAGCTTATGAGTGAAGTGTAGGAAAGCTTGAACTGGAGTTTGTTCTTGGATGGCAAAAACTATCAACCATAAAACCCAAATCCATGGGAAACAAGACTTTCTTAGTTTCACTATTTATGAAGCTACTTCTTTCACGTAATACTCAATTAGTCTTTAAAATACGTGGTAAAACTATCAAGATATCAAGATCTTTTATTAACAGTATAGAGAATAATAAATGTGAGGGTCTTTCTTGTGCTATTTTAGAGAATTAACTGCTGTGGTTATTTCTGTTTAGGCCTAGGTAAACACTGATCTAAGTCTGCTATGTTAGATTTGTTGTAACAGATGCCATTTGAAATGTGTTGGCTTTCATAATGTTTATTTTGAAAATCCCCACTTAAATTTATCTGCACACTTGAATTAAAATGCTTACCTGGGTTGCATGCCCTTGATAACTTCTGAAACCTCATACACCTGTGTAAATTAGTACCAGAGCAACCATTTGACTAACAACAAAAATCTTGTGCTTTTGCTGTTGAATAAGTATCTTCTCTTTCCAATTTAGAGGGCTGCTAGAGAAGAAATACTTGCCAATGGGGGTAGTCTGTCACATCACCATGGAGGTAATGTTCTCAGTCTAATATTAGCGTCTTCAATATTGCTAAATATTCATGACTACGTAGAATAGTTTGTAATTGAACTTTGAAAAATATTTTACAGGCATTAACTGAAATTACTGGGGGGAAAAAAGGGGAAGGGCATCTCCTGGCATTCTTCCTAGGAATTTCTTGTGCCTTTGCCAGATTTCCATGGCATATGTCCCTAGACCTTATTTGCTTGATGTCAAATCACACAGTGTGGTGTATTTATGAGCACCAGCCTCAAATCTTTTATAAGAAGTCTATTGGCTTTGTGAGAACCTGAAAACGTAGTTGGTCAGTCTGTCTTAAGCAGCTTCTTCTGACCCTTGTGCATAGATGTATTCAGTTATGAAGACCTCAGCTTCACAGTTTTAAGACAGCTTAGGCTGCTGTGGCTAGGTAAAAGCCATTAGCCTTAAGTTCAGAGTGTTTAGTGAAAGTATCTGCATAAAAGAGCTACTGACCTGAAATGGGCTATGTTGCAACCTACCATTTATTGTGTAATTGTTAGGGAAATATTGATATTATTGGTGTGTTATGATTATTCAATTTCTTTTCTTGGAGTTTGGAAATTGCTTGTCATGAGTTATTAGCCTCTTTGCAAGCTATTTTGTGCTTTTAATATTAAGAACCTATGGCATGTGTAAGGGATGCTTTGTATACCTTATGTATGCTTTTCCCACATATTCAGGTAGCCTAATTTGATTACATGTGTCCTATACAATGCTGCATACTCGGATGCATGCAAGACTTGTGAAGTCAATTTGACTTGTGCAGTGAACTTCTTAAGTGCAGCTTACTGGCTAAGTTAATGTATTTCTTATCTCTCCTCTCTTGGGGTGTTTGGTCACAGAAATAAAAGCAAAGAAGTAGTCTAATGGTATGAAACTAGATAAAAAATTTTGTGATTCTAATAAGGCTCTGTGTGTGTGTGAAAACTGAAAGGTGGAAGCTGTGCCTTAAAACATAATGGCAACTTCCTGGACTTGAAACCTTCAGCTGGGGCTGTTTTCAGACATCTAGCTTTGTGACAGAAACTGAAATTGATTCTGGTTTAGCAGTGTCAGGATATTGAAAGATGTGTAGATGATGATAACATGAGTGAAAACTGCTTCAGGATTTTTTAATATGCTCTTATTTTCCTCTGATTAAATCTTTAATATGTTGGTACACTGGACCAGTCGGTTCTCACATATGAGATGTGGAATTACCTCCTTGATGTACTGTTGTGCTCTCCCCTGCTGTGGCAGCTGTATTTTACTGTGCCTAGCATTTTATCCATTAACTTGCATGCAGCTGGAGCTTGTCATGTGTTTGGAGGTAGTTGCCCTCACCATATGAAACCTTGCTTACTGCGTATGTTGAACAAGAAAAAAAGCTATATAGCATTCTAAAACCCCTGCACATTTGAGCTTTCTGACTCCACTGATACGGAAAACTTGGTTTTTGTTAGACTTCTGCTGCTGTTGTATGCATGACTGCCTCTTATAAATATTTTCAGGTCTGAGTGGTTTTGTCTGGCAGTTCATTGTGTATGATATTCAAGATTCATTTTTTCTAGTTCTTCGCAAAAGCGCTGCTGATAATTAACAGTATTAGTTTTATTTAATGACCTTAAGGCCCTGTCATTCTTGGCACTGCTAAGACTAGCCTATTGTGTGGGGTAAAAGAAAATACTGGTGCAATTTCTTGTAGTATTTGTCTTGTAATTGTGATTAATAACAGTTGTTTTCACTATCTGGAAGCAGTCAGGCTACTTTGTCTGCCTACAATCACCCTGTGATAAATGGAGCTGTTTTAACTCTGGTTTTGTGTATCAAAGAAAACAGATGTAGTCTGGGACTCGAGGCTATAGGAAATACAAAGCCTGCTTAAGTCAATCTTCATACACTCCTTGAGTGAAGAAGTGGTCATATATGACAGTTTGAGATGGTTAAAGCTCTAAATTACATCTGGGAAGTACTAACTGTAGGTAGATGCGTAACTACAATTACAGTTAGAACTGAAATCATAATACTTTTAACCTTATGAAGAGTCATTTCAGAAAGACTTTAGTTTGGATTCTGCTTTAATCTCAGTGTCTCTTCTCCCCTTCATCCAGGCTAATGAAAAATATTGTAACTTTTAGGCAAGACTCTCTAAAGGTAGCAATACTGTGAGAAGGTTTACATGTGTGTCCTTCCTTAGCCCCCCGATGGGTTTTGAGACTTAAAATTTGTAAGAAGCATAACATTTTTTGTTAATGGATTACATTAATGATCACACCTTACAATATGTAAGAACAACACATCGCCACAGAGAAAGTGCAGAAGTGTATCAATATCAGCCTTGTACAGAAAGCATCTCATGGACACAAGAAGCTGTAGTGAAGACAGATACATGTGTGTAACAAATTTATCCTTTCAGTGTAACAATTACTTATTTTGGGGTAGAATATACAGATTATATTTTTTATAAATCTGCGTAGAATTTCTATGATATTGCAACTTAAATGACTTTAATCAAATTGTCCTTTTTGAAGTCCTTCTCACTTTCAACTTTCAAATATTTAAATCTAATTGGTAAGTGTCATGGCAGGAGTGGCTTTCCTACTTTAATGTTAGCATTTAACACTTGATAAGGTTTTGGTTTATATAATGAACTAGAACTTGCATTTAGGAAGAATCAGGCATATTTGTTGCTATAAAAATACACCCAAAATGCATAGCTGATCAGATAGGCACTTCTTACGCAGGGAGAATTCAGCCATTCTCCGGTATGTCAGAAATAGAGCCATATAGAGGAGGTACCAGATATTTTTATGATCCTGACAGTCTTGTTTAAATGTAGTAGGTCTGTTGTTAAATTTGTTGTGAACAAACTGCTGAAAGGTTTAATGGTTTTAAAGTAATGTTTAATGTGTGACTTTGAAGTAGTTTCTTTTGCCTCCTTTTTCCATTTTACCTAAATGATGTGTCATAACATGTGACTTCGTAGACGTTTTTTGAAATGCACTTCAAAATCAGATGTTCTAGTTGTAGCATTCCCCTTGTCTCCATTTCCTACAGGAGATTTTTACAGTCTTCACCTTGACTTGACTATGTCCTACACTTAGGAAAGGGATAGTGCATACCTCTGAACACAGTTTGATCCTTCAGCTTTTCTGGCAATTGAGTATCTTCAGATTTGAGTCATGTAAGTAAGGGTTGCTAGAGCCAGTTAGCTTATAGTAATTTAGCATTTAAAAAGCAACATTAGGAATGCCAATTTCTTGTATGTATAAGATTAAGTTTAGATAAATGATTCTCTAATCATTAGGACAAGCCTTAAAACCACCCATATGATGTGTCACACCTTGCATTCTTAATTCCTGTTTTATAAAATACATGCTTTTTTTGTATACATAATTTGATGAGCAAGTATCAGTAGATATGGTTCCTATATAAATACAATTATAACCCTTTAAGAGTACAGCATCAGAAGGGAGCTGGCTGGACTTGAGCCTGATTTCCTCTGTATTACCAAGCTAAGCACCCATGTAAAACTAAGGAAGAGTGTAAAAAATTCATGATAGATTGTTTCCCTTGCAGGGAATGTTTTAACTAAAACTGGTTACTTACGGAAGCAATTACCAGCTTATGAGTTTGAGGAAAATACCCCCATTTAGCCACTTAAAGTAATAGAACTCATTTTCATCCACTTTCTAGACAAATTGACTAGAGTAAAGGTTAACCAGGTAGACCCTGTTCCATATGTTTAGGTATAGTATCAATTTCCTGCCAGTTTATGTAGAAAAACTAAAGAGAAAAAGTAAAAAAATATCCAAACCAAAAAAAAAACCAAACCAAAAAAAACGCAAAAAAACCCAGCCAACCAAAACAAACCACAAACCCCCAAAACCCAAATCAAACAAAAACCCCAAAACAAGCAAACAAAAAACCCAACACCCCCCCCACCTTATCTGCATTCAGTTGCATGTTTGACATTGCAATTCCTTGGCATCATTAAGAGACTGTGGCTTAACTATACACTGAAGTAATTAACCCACAAACTACAAAATCTGGAATTATAAAATTCTCTTATGGGGAAAGTTGAACACATTTTTTCCTCTATGCAGGAACATTATCTTCTTACTTGGAGACTGATTTTAAAACTAGATACTTTGATTTTAAAACCAGAGCTTGCTGTACTGATTAGTTTAAATTGTGACATTTGTGAGGCATAGAAGGTAACCTTATGTGATAAGGCAGTTGTATTTTTCTACTTAGTCAGTTGAAAGTCTTAATAAAATAGGCGTCTTCAGTGCCTTTTTCACCAAAGAGATGCAAACAATTTTGATTAATCAACATCTTAGTTGTTTAGATATCAAGTGAAAATGTGGAAGATGTTACAGTGATTGTAATTGTTAATTAATTACATAGTAGATGTCAGGTATGCTGGTCCAGTCTATTCCAGCACTACCAGAGTATTAGATGAATGCACTGACCTTTCTCAGTATTGCAGCTTTCTCTGGAAGTGTAATAACCTCTTCAGCAGTTTCTAAGAGCAGAGAGATGCTTTCAGTCAGCTTCAGTAAGAGCCCCATCCTTCTTATGACCTCTTTTTGCTTCTTGTTTTCCGAAGCTGTTGTTCTGCAGTAACTGTCTCTGAGTTGAAAGGGCTGGAGCAGAGAAAGTCCGGAGCCATGTGCAGTGCCACTATGGCCTGTTTCCCCTGAGACCAGGCACTGCTACACATCTGTTCTGCATGGGTGTAGAATCTATCCTGGGTTCCATCAGTTACATTAAAACTTTCCTTACAGGACTGTTCATATGTGTCCAAATACTTTACATTCCAGAGTGAGAAAAGCAATTGCGGCCTGCTGTTTGCTAGGTCCATCCTTGGCAGCAGGGCATTTTGCAGCTATCCAAAAGCATTTTCAAGAATGAACAAGTGTAACTTTTATGACCCAGGAGAACTATACTCCCGTTTTACCATCTTTGTGGCCAGCAGGTATGTGCTGACTTGACAAGTAGTTACTTGTTAAGCTACTACAAATTGATTGTACAACATTATGCTGATTTGAGAACCTTAATAATATTATGATGTATCAGATAGAATCAGGTGAATTTGGTCTCACTTTTTAATTGGGAAAAGTATACAAGGCTGATAGTCTGTAAGTGGTAGATGCTTGGATAAAACCTGGTTCTGTGCATTGTTGCATGTCAGTTCTAGGTAAATGGCATCATCTAGGCCTAAAACTAAAATGTCTACTTTCTGTAGGCTAGAAATAGAAAGGCGGTTTTCTCTAGTCTGTGGTAAGATCAGGTTTAACAGATCTTTTATTACTGGGGAAGCTCATGCTTCCTTATGAGCTGTTCTTTGGCTAGGGTTAGAGTGGAGTTCAGCTGCTTTACCACTTAGAGTTATTCCTACATTCATGGTAACATCATTTACTATTAGGGCATTTTCTTCTTCCTTTTCCCTTCTCATCCTTGAAGCTAATCGGATCATCCTATGGAGAAGGAGGAGAATACTTACAGGGCAGCAGTAACCCAAAGTGAAATAAATATAAACATTGCTTTTCTAAGTGGTGCTCTCAGGTGCACAAAGCCTTTCCTTCACTTGGTCTATTTTTCCATTTAATCAGATGGACCAGTGTAGAATTCAAAGAGTGAGATTGCTTCAGTGCTTTTTAACTCTAATTAATATGAAAACTTGAGTAGCTGAGAAATCCATGTATTATTGACGTGAACAGTAGAAGCAGAGGCTCAACCCACTGCTATCAAGGGGTTAAAATCTTTTCAGTGAAAATGTTTGTGAAGGACTGCTGGTAACTGTAGTACAGCTTTTTTTTCTTTCCAGTTCACTAATCAAATGTATGTTAGATTTATTATTGCAAAAGTATAAACCATAGAAAATTTGACAAGATAGATGTGTAAATTATCACTTTGACAGAACTAATGATGCACTCCAAACACCTTCTGTTTTCCAGCACTTGGTGAGCGACTTCATTAAATATGCAACGACTGGTGCTGCTCAGACAGTAGTTCAGTTCCTTGTGGAATTGCATTATTACTGGAGGTGTAAAAGAGGCAGGCATGCTAGCTGTTGGGCATCCTGCTGTGATTCTAATGTGCTCCATCTTGTTGGAGCAGTTGTTTGCAGTCTTTTCAGGACAATTACATCCATAACCACAGGACACATTCACTGAAACTATATTACAGATAACAGTTGAGAATGGTAATGACTGTTCTTCAGCTGCTTGTATAAGAGCCAGTGTGAGTGACCTGAGGTGATGGTCAAGCCACGTCCGTGATTCTTTTTTTGTAGCTGTCGTATTAAATTTCCCCAGATAAAATTTCACTACATCAGCGTGCTCAGACAGTCACGTTGTAGTGATGGTGTATTTACAGATGGGTTTTTGGTTTTTGTTTTGTTTTTTCTTGAGCTGGGATGCAAAATACAACCAGAGTTCCTACCACATGACAGATTATTTTGTCCTTCAGTTATGATCTTCGCTCTTGACACACATGCTGCTAATAGTAGTTTTCTAGCAAACTGCAAATTTCATTCTTTCTCACATTATTTTCTTTTCAGTTGGCATGTGACTAGCTCATATTCCTTAAGGTATAAACAAATATACCCTGTTCTCCAGAGGTGTCCCTGTAATTTATTATTCTGATGACAGTTTGATGGTTACACTGAGAACAGGGCACAAAAGATGGCTTGAATTTAGCTTCAGATACTCTTAAAGCATCTGTCTCTCAAACCTTTACTATATTGCTTCATACTGACAAATGGATTTCAGGCTGACAAGTTAAATGCTAGAGTGTGCTTAATGAAAAAAATGTCCTTTATTTTGAATGATCTGTTAAATCAGAGTTGATTAACTTGGTTAATTAGCAAGTGAACACTTGGCCATTTAACAGGACTATTGTGAGACTTAGTGAAATGAGTTTTTAAATCGCTGGTGTTTCAGCCTTCCTTTGTATTTGGTATATGTTGTGACTATCTGTTTTTAGATGGAAAAATAATCTCTTATGTAATTAATGATTTGAGCAATTTCCAGCCTGTGTAAAAGTTTTTGAATACAATAAGATATTTTGGGGTTTTTTTTAAGTAAGTGTTTGCTAAGCAGAAAGCTTAAAACTTTTTTTTTACTATTGAAACCAATACTGGTTTAAGTTAGATTATTGAGTTATGTTTTCACTTTAAAGTAATCAAGGGGTTCTTCTTTTTAGTAATCCCCTGTACAGTTTCCTACTTAAAATTAGTTTGGTGGCTTTTTAAAACGTATTATGGATTCCCTATTTTAATAGATATTTCAGCCTAAACTTCCTCTGAATTTCATAGTTTCTAAAGAAAGTAGACAGTGTGGAACACAGTCTTCCTCTGGGAGTATGCTGAGCTTAATGAGCTTGATAGTCTGGTGGGCTCAATAAATCAAATAAAGCAAAACATTTCTCATTTTTGAATAAAAGCATTTATCACACAGTGTTTATTCATTCATGGTCACAAGATTGATTTGGCTCCTACAATCCTGTCATATATTGAAACACTTTGTTTTTGTTTTTCCAGTAGGCAAATTGCGGAAGCGCTGGATGAAGGAGAGCATCTCTGATGTTGGCCTGGGAATGCTGAGATCTGTTAAAGAATATGTGGACCCCAATAACGTCTTTGGAAACAAAAATCTTTTATAAAGCCCTGCACAACATGATGTACTAAAACTTCTTCGAAATTACTGTTGAAAATCCTCCACTTTCATTGTACTGATATCCCAGTAATCAAATATAACATAGACTAAACTTTAAAAACTAGTGACTTTTATATTTTATTTTTTTTTTGCTACCTTATTCCCCTCCCCCCAATAAAGTGTAATCATCACTGTTAATGTTTACGGATTTTTACTTACCGTGCTCTTACACTTTGTGCCCAGTGGGTTGGTTAAGAGTTATTACCAAGCAGGAAATGCAAACTTGGTTTTCCAAGTTTGGTTAGGCAACACAGTTGACAGTAGTTTCAATGCTGGATACTGCCAGATGTTTCTTACTAAAGCCTCCCCTGCAAGGAGAACAAAGACTGACAACAGTATTTTCTACAAAAGCAGCTGTTCAACCCAGCCTCTTGCTAAAGGAAAGCTGCTAAAGAGACAGATGAGAAAACACCAAGGAGTACTTCACTGTACTGGAGGATTAAATGTGTAACAGGCTTGTAACCACCCAACACTTTAAGTACAAATGTAGGCTTTGATAAAAAAAAAAGACTATGTAAGTCAAAATATGTCTAAAAACTCAGTCTCTCACTGTAGTCCTATTGGGAAATCTTACACAATTGAGCTGTTCTGAGTTGTATTTGCATTGCTGGGATAATCTTAAATTAATTGTAGGTCAGTCACTAAGTTTTGTACAATGGACATTTCTCACTGTATGTTGAAAACAGGTCTGTAACAAAACTTTGTGTTCATCTGTACTTCAGTCCTAGTGTGTATGGGGTTTGCTCCTGTTTATTTTGCAGAGATGCAAAATAATCTTTTTCAGTTAAAAATAATGTTTTGGCTATTCAAATGAAACTGCCCAGCACTGTCTTTTGAAACAGTCTTAAGAGTTTAATAAAACATTTAAGTGGACAATATACTGTCACCCTGAAAGTGAGATTTCCCTTTTTAGTTTTGTACACTTTCGTATGGCCTTTATGAATCGTTCACTTCACAAGTAGCCACAATTTTAATTGTCCATTAAACTTTAAGAAAACAAAAATTTTTTGAGCAGTATTGTGTAAGAGTACGCATTTTTACACTGAAACTTGAATGTTAATCAGTAAAACTAAAAGTATTTATGAATACTCATGATCCATTTTTAAGGTGGGTTCTTTTCTTAAATTATCCAACTTTTTGATAATTAATGTATATGACTGCAGAGGATGGAAAAAATACAGACTACCCTCTCTGTAGGCAACTGCTTCACAGGTATAGTGTCAGTTTGGACACCTTTTGTATTGGTAGTGCCCTTAATGAGGAGAAGAAATGAAATTGCATTTTGTTTTTAAACTCTTTTAGAATACTGTCTAATTAGTTTTGGTAATATACTAAAAAGAGTATAAAATGCTTGAAAAATACTGCATATCGGACAACTTTGCACTTGTTTAAAGACCAATTTCAATGCTACAATTTAAATTATCAAAAAATGTGAACACTCAAAACCACTTTAAAATGGATGCTCTCAAGGTACATAAGGGAAAAGTTTATGATCCAGAAGTCACGAAACAGAATATTAATGTTATATTTGCAGTGCAGCTGGATTTATTTCCAATGGGTTTTGTTTCACAACATTTCAACATAAAAATCTATTATTTTCTATTTTTGCTTCTGGCCCCCAGAGTTCATATTTCGGCAGCAATGAGAACAATACAGGAGTAGTCTGGTTTAGGAAGCTGAGTCTTTGCACTGTGGTTAAGTGTTCCTTACGTACACAATGGTGTCTCAGCAAAGTTTATGCAAGAGACTTCTTTATCTTGCATGCTGCATTATGGTGACTACATGGCCACAGCTGGTGTCTTGCTGATGACTTGTATTGCTCTGACACAAGAGACCTTTCTAGCAGTTGGTAAATATAAAAGGTATTTATGTGCCTCAGTGAAAGTATATGTCTATGATGAAGAATCAATTTTGACAGAAAGTGTGTGAAGCCTTTTTGCAGAATGACAGCACAAACAGAACTAAACCAAGTAGTCGCAGCTCAGTAATACCAGTCTCTTATGATTTTGACATAAGTACAACACAACTCAATTTTCTAACTATGGTTTCCTTACTCCTTTTCTGTATGTAAAGATACATGGGCAAAACCGCTTATACTCTCTATTTCTAACCTTTAAGTAGCTACTGGCTTCTGAAGTGATTTAAAATGCAGTAAAGATTTTTACTGCATGTCAGTTGTCCTATGGGAAGGTGAAATATCAGGCTGTAAGGGTCCCAAAGCAATGTCACTGGATAGCTCTGAGGAAAAGATTAACTACAACTGTAATGGCTATTTTCTTTTTTTTTTTTTTCTAACGGCCACTCTACGGTTGTCTTGCTGAATATTTTTCTATCTTACAAACTGGTCAGAGCTTGTTGAAACGCATGTATTGTTGACTTGTCTTTAACTTCACATTTAAATTTATAATCAAAGTAGAGGAAAGCGTCAAGTTTAGGAGACCTGGAAACACATGCATCATTACTAGTCTTCCACTACTCTTCCTTGCTGTCTCTTTCTAAAGATTTCACTTCCCTTAGCTGCAGCCTGTTCAGAGGTGGAGTTTGATCCATGCAGATCAGAAGCATATCTTGGCATAACATATCACTTTTTCATTCATTCGACTGTTTTGGCTGTATGTAGGTTGCAAGCAGTTTTAATTAATCTTCTCATGACTTCCAATTACTCATTTACTCATAAATTCCAATTCTGCTTTCTTTGAAGAGGGAAAGGTGCAGAGTGAGTATGCTTTGACTGGGCAATGTATTTAAGTTGGAGAGACCTTTATAAAAGTTTTGAGGGGGAAGAAGAAAATCTGTTAGAAATTGGTCCAGGGTCTAAATCTTACAGTCAAAGAAAAACATGACTCTTCTTGCATAACTTACAGTATATTTCTGAGTTAGAGATGTCATCTTTGCCTTATAGCTGTGAACAAAGGCCAGGCCAAATAGTTCTTCCATAGCAATGTTAATTAAGTGAAACAAATTTCAAAGGCAGCGATACATTAGCACTGAAATCCAGAAAACACAATTTGCTTCTCAATCCTGGAAATGTTTGTTTACCAAGGTAACTTAACTTTCTGCAAATAAAGCCAAACTTTGTCATTTTAGTGTGAGATTAACTGTAAAACATCAATTGTAATGTTAAGAAAATATAGAACCTTATATTATTAATAAAAAAATGGGCCTAAACAATTACGTGGTTCTGTGCTGAAACTAAACAAATACATTCTACTAACTTGTCATATTTGGTTCACTTTACCGTGATGGTGAGCTCTTACCTAAGGAAGACTATTAGGAAGGTTTTGACACTTGCAGAGAGAAATGAGATTGAATTTGTAAATGTATGGCAATAGAAGCTTTGCTTTTGTGTCCCATGTAAAGCAAAATGAGAGAATTTCAGTGAAGGAAAGGCAGATGACCAAACAAACACCAGTCTACTCAGCTGAAAAATTTTACTTCCTCAGTATTCACTGTTTGGGCAGCAAAGGGACTGCATTCAACTTCTCTAGGAAAGTTCTCCTAATATAATACAGGGACATACCTTGTCTGATTTAGCTTTCCCATATTTCAAAGACCCATTGTATTATGCTGTTGCAAAGAGGTGTGCAGTCTCCTGCTGTTGATCTCATTTAAGACCTCCTTGTTGCACGGCCTGGAATTTACTTAGAAGTTCAATGTGCACGAATGCATCATGTGTGAGCAGAAGAGTTGTTTCTCAGCTATCTGCTTCATTGCTATAAAGCCTTTATGCTCTTTGAGCTAAAATGGCTGAAATCATGTCTTGCTTGAAGAGCTATTGTCTTAGTTAACGCAGTTTCTTCAGTGCACATTGTTAAAAACCCACAAAAGTCACAGCATGCAGGTGACAGGCGAACTAATGACATGGTTCAGTTTGTATAACTATAACAATTTCTCAATATGATCCAAATTTCTTTTGGGTGCTTTTTCACAGGAAAGCAAAAACTACCTGACATCAAGCATTTTATTTGTGTTTCCCTTTTACTAACAGCATAAAAATGCAGGGTTTTTTACTTGGATCTAGATAGTCTCAATTTGAAGGAGACCTTAGATGATGATATACTTGTCTCAGGATGACAGCCAGATTCCATCAATGTTCTCTTTGTTTAAAAGAAGTAAGTTTTATAAAAACTTAGACCTGAACTCACAGCTGTGTAAATACTACGGCTCACTGTTCATGGTTTTGTAGTCCCAACACAGATTCTGAATTCCACATTACCTTTAACATAAATTGACGTCTTTCCCTAGCCACTTTATGGAGACCAGAATTGGCAGGTAGTTGCTTTGTTTGGGTTCAGCCTCAAGGTCTGTTGCGGTGCTCAAGAGCAGAGGTGATCAAAGATACTTTTCAAAAATGTTTGCCATAATGTCTTTGAAAAAGACTAGTGCTGTCCTTTTGAAATTAAAAATTCAGTTTCAGAAATGTGGGTTATAATATTTAAAATTGTATTGTTACTTGCAATAGTCATCAATACAAGCTGCAATAACATGTACCTCTACTGAAATGCTGTGAAATGTCTTATTTATGAATTTGGTTTTGCACTTTGGAAAAACGAAGCATTGAACTTTTTATGGGAACTTTATGAATGTTTCATTTTAATTCAGAATAAAACTAAATTTGTTTCAATTGACTGTTCAGCAATTCCAGTATGACATTCCTATTTGGGTAGTATTCAGCCTATTTCTACCTTCATGGTAGTATGTAGTAGCATGTCCCCCCACACACATATGGGGACATAGCAGCTTTTAAATTAATGCATTTATTGTAGTACTATAAAGTATCATAGCAACCTTCTTAAAGGATAAAGCATACTGATCTCTGCAATGAAGTTGTGTGTATGCAAAAAGATGATGGACAAAACCTGATGGTGTGACTGTAATGCAAAATTTAAACTGATGCTTTTAGAGCTTCAGATTAAATTAGGAAATAAGTGAAAAATGGTTTTGTTTAAAAAATCACATTTTAAAATTAAACTATTTTCTAATGATGAAGAATGTCAAGTGATCATCACAACTTTGCAGTTCAGTATCATCTGACTTGTCCTGGTGCAGCTGACCTCCTGAAGCAAATTCTAAAGGGGATGGTCTCAAGACGGGGTTTTGATAAAGCTACTCCAATTTCAGGCTGCTGGAAGAGGTTGGCTCTATGCCCATGACACTGAAACTGTGGATAACTGGTGTTGCTATTGCTAGCTTCAGCAACGTAATATTCAAAGCCATTTGAAGACAATGAATGGCATTGATGTTACATATTAAATGAAGTTCAGCAAATATTCAAAGCATAAAGGGCTATCTGCTAAGTTCAGTTATGCATAAATTGGATATTGATAGTGGCATTGATAAATGCAATCTTGACTAGATGCAAGCCTGAGGATGTGGGAGTAATGAGAAGGTACAAACACAGCCGTTGACCTTTCTCCCTCCCATTCCCTGGCAGCAGCCAGCAGTGTTTCCTGTCTCACTTAGTTCCTGCTGCTGCAGAGCAGGAAATCCTGGCTGCCCAGAGGCAAGGGTTAAAAGCCCTTCTGAAACTTGAAGTGACACACATGCTCACCTAGCAAATACATAACAGCTGGGTAAATACATACAGAGATGAGGCTGTAAACGCTGGTCATTAAGGAAAGTAAATCTGGCTAATGCTAGAAAGCAAATGTAACAAAGATGTGGATGAGCTGAATGGTGCATGAAAATCTCAGGTTTAGAATGACACTTGTTGACAAGATGTTGGTATGATACAGACCACACTATGGGCTTAGGGCGTAGCCCTGGGTATATCTGAAGTTTGTTCCTTGACTTGCTTAGGACAGAATCCTGGTTTTAGCCTAATATCCTGGGAAAACAAAGCAAATAAATTTCTCTGCTGTGTAGTTTGGTCCTCGTTCCTCTCCTTTTTTCTCCCCTGCAATGCTTTTGATCTTCATGAACAGCTTCAGACAAACTCAAATAAGATTCAAGTCTAAGTGTATTAAATTCTTGCAGTTTTTTGTGGAAAATAGCAACCCTAATTTGGGCTGATAAGGAAGATGAAAGCTGAAATGTCAGGTCAACCGTTTTAATACCAGATAATCCACATGGTAAAATCCCAAATGTTAGTTGGTGCGCATCCACTGCAGATGGTCAGTGTGCTCTGCCTTGCAGTGCTTGGACCCTTAAAGTGCCTTGATGAGTGCGGTCAGCCACAAGGCAAACTGTCCTTTTTAGTACTCCTGCTCCTGAAGGTACAGGGCAGTGCTGTTCTTCCAGTCAGGTTTTGTTTGTTTGTTGAGTTTTTTTTTTTGTTTTCTTTTGTTGTTTTTTTTTTTTTGTTTGTTTGTTTTTGTTTTTTTTTTTGTTTTTTTTTTTTTTTTTGTTTTGTTTCGTTTTTGTGTTTTTTTTTCCGTTTTTTTTTCTTTTTTCTTTGCTTGGGATTATTTTGTTTGGGTTTGTTTGTTTTTTAACTAATATTTTCTTGATAAATGAAGATTCTGTCTCATAACTGTTGTGCCAAGTTTTCAGCTCTGCTCAGCTTTACAGGTTAGCATGTTCTAGCATAAGAACATGAAGAACAGAGGCTTCTGGGTTCCTTGAGATAGTATTGGAGCTCAGTTTAAACATGCAGAAGTGTCTCCAATGGGTGGATTATAGTAGCCATCTCCTTAAGAGGTGAGATTCCTTTAAAGCATTATAAACAGTCTGCAGGGAACAAGAAGCAGCTGTGAAAAGGAGTTGGGGAGAGGGAAGGGGAAAGAGAAAAGCTATTGTAAGACGACGGAAATAAGCTGAGTCTGTTATGTGTGTTAACAAAGTCCTGATGGTTGTCCTGATGGTTCTCCTGATGAAGAGTTGCCCTACCTTTACAAGCAGAGAGTCCTTCCAGGTTGCTAACCAATGAGTGGTTGAGGAAGCAGGGTTTACTGTATGAGATGGAGGAGATGAGTGACTGCTGCCCAAGGGGCAGTGGAGAAAAGCTTTTGAGAAGGCTTGTACTCCCTGCAAAGCTTCATCAGGCAGCACAGCCCATCAGCATGCTCAATAAAAACCTCTTTGTACAACCTCACCTGTCTGTTGCATGAGTTATTGCTGATGAAATAGTGACCAGGAAGCAAAGAGAATTGTTAACGGGGAAAACAGAGCAAGGGCAGTGCAAGCCAGTGTCTTGCATGCATGGCTAAATTACACTGAAATGAACATCTGGCAGCAACAGCCAGGCAGAAGGGAGCTGGTTGCTATAGAAAAGCAATAAATTTGGGATGGTAAGAAATCTGCTGCCTTGGTTACAATTTAGTACTTTTTTTAAGGCCGATGAGAGGAAATCACTGTCTCTTCATTTGTAGAGCTATGTGCTGCTCTGTGGACATGAATAAAACACAACACTATTTCCTGTTCTTTTCAGTAGCTCATGTAAGACTTCTCTACATTTCTGGGCTTGAGTAGTCACTGTTCAGGTGCTTACAGCTGAGCATTTGTGGGCTGGCCTGCTCAGCCATGCTATAGTGCTTTGGGTCCTTCCACCAACCTCTGTTGCAGCAGGGTTTACATTATTAAAACCAAAATTCTCCTGTCACAGAAAGGATAGGCTGATTATTACATGCTCCTTTGACAAAAATGGTACAAAAGTGTTACTTTAGTTTTCTTTGGTTTGTTTTAAAACCACATGCTGATATAGCACAGCTGCAGCCCAGCCAGCACACAGCAAACTTAAAACAGCTGTGAGTGGTAGGGCAGGGAACCTGGTGATGAATGATGCATTTGTAATAAGTTACACATACAGAGACACTATAGCAATCAGCAAGGCCTTCAGCAGCCAGAGCACAAGTGCTTACCACTGAGGTTAAAGGCAAATTCCCTTAAGGGGAAGCTGAACAGGTTTATAAACACAGGGACTAGTGTCTAGGAGGATTGTGCTCGCATCCACGAGCCTTTGCATGCAGAGCCATGTGTTTGCTGCTGGCACTTGGCATCTTGCATTGTAACTGTGATGTTACACTTATACTGTGAGTCTGAACAACAGGATTTGTGAATTGGCTCTTCGGGAACAAAATGGTTGTGGATGCCCTGGCTTCCCAGGAACCTGCCTGGGGAGCCAAGACAGCAGAGGTTTGCAGATCTCACCCCGCCAGGCTGGACCACATGGGTGTTGTAGCACACAGAGAGCCTAGCTACCTCACAAGGGCTGTTTGCACTCTCTGTGTCTGCAAATGCCTGCCGTTTTACACCAAACAGACTTTTCTGCTCTGGCTGTGTATATTCTGGCCCTGAGAGAGCCAGCTTTATCCTTCACATGGCTTCCAGCCCTGCCCAAGCAAATCTTACACGCCTTCATTTGGAAAACAATGGTGGGCCCTTTCTCTGCTGCTGCCTGTTCCCCCCTCAGCAGTGATAATGATGGGCCTCAGCTGTGCTCTGTGCCAGGTGAGGAGCACATCGGTGCACCGGGTGGGAGGCAGGGATCAGCCCTCACTTGGCCCCTTCCTGCCCCAGATGCATCAGGTTTACCTGAGGGGGCTGTCCCTGTTCTGGGTGTGGGGCGATGTGGGGCTGCAGCCCCGGAGGAGGTGCTCTCCACAGTGCAGTGCAGCCCACTGGAGTGGGGAGAGCCTGTCAGGATGCTCCCCACTGAGGTAAGAGGATGAGTCTGTGAGGACATGGGTGATTTTATTGCCTCCCTGGCTGCTTGCTACTAGGAACATCAGGGCCAGGATGGGGTTGGAGGGTGAAATCTGCAGTGGGATGGCCTTGGCAGGACAGGGTGTCCTGAGAACACCCTGTGGTCAAAGGGGCTGATAGTGGAGCAGCAAGCTCTCTTCTCCCTGGGCCAAAATGAAGGTGCATAAGGTGTCCCCTCAGTCAGGTCCTTGGTGAGGTGCTGGGGGAACCAGGCCTGCCCAAGAGAAATGGGGAGCTCAGGATAAAACCTGAGTGTTGCTGTTCAGAGCCTGGCTTCCCTCAGGGCATATCTGTGTGCCCACGGGTGCCTCTTAGCTTTTGTGTGTGTTTCGGACACGTTGAGGCAGGGTTTCAATGTGAGACGTGCGAGTCCCAAGTGACTTTAAAAGACTGTTAAATTTCTGTGCAATTATATTGGTCATTTGTGGTAACAAAATCACGTTCTGCCCTTGTTTATAAGCAGCCAATATGTGTGTGTCCAACCTGGCTTTGCTAATGGATCCATTTTGTGTGTTGAATGAGCTGGAGGGTCGCAACTGCCCAGCTGCGGAGCAAGGGCAGTAACTGTTATCTGCATTTGCACTCTGAAAGCACTTGGAGGTTTTTAGAAGTAGGAAGAGGTCTAATCCAAACTGGGCTTGGTATGCTGAGGCTCTGAAAGCAGGAGGCTTCTGTGGTGCTGCTGCAGGTCATTGTGTATTACATATTCTGGGTTTGCCCTTTAGAACATCCCTTTTTTGCGTGGAGTTTCTGTCAACTTTGGAACATAGGCCTGTGAAATGCGAACATACGTGTTCGTGGATATGGAGAACAGCTCTGTTTGAACCTGTGCTGCTTTTCAAAATAATACATATGGAAAAAAGAAATCTCGTGTTCCTGTGCAGTCAGAGCCACAACTGAATTTGCTCTTAACTACTGTACTACAGTGACTTGGGTGTAACCTGCCTGTAAAACTCCACAGCTGCTCTAGCTCTTTTCCTG